TCTACATATGCATGGATTCATCAAAGTGAGCCATTTCGCACGTGAAAATATGGCCTCTTTGCACGATCGGCAGTACTTGGTCGAAACTGGTCGAGGAGGCCCTTTACAGTTGTTACCAATGTCACAGTCGAGGAAAGTTTGTCCGTTCTGCGGTTAGGAGCACCGAGTTCAGTAAAAAAAAATGTGACTCTATGCCGCAAATTGTTCTACCATATTGCCGACTTGTGCTGGACATCACGGAAGTGACAAGGATTGTGCATATAGGCCCATCCTTTCATGATTTCCCAATATCGTTTTTTAGTGGTTATTTGGAGGTCTTAAGTGCCGGTGGCAAACATTGAAAATCTGTTGACTGTTGATCCTGTTTCCATCCATTAATATCAAGGAAGTTGTCTTCAACACACAGATATATTACCTTAACTTATATTTACTTGTTTACATACCAAGTTAATCGGGGCGCATTGTACATTTTTTTTCTGGATGGAATGGCAAGTGACAGCTGTATGTCGGTCTTGCTCTCGGGTTAACCGTTGACTACGCCTTATCGTAACGTAAACCGGAGATTACCGGAAGATACTAATAGCTCAGCTAGACACTTTTTGTTTGCACACGTGATGAAACGTCTTGGTGACCGAGACTATTTTTGTTCCTATGTCCGCCATGTTGCTTTCCACCCTTTGCGCAGTTTCACGTGTGAGTGATCATGGGTGACATTTTTCTTCTATAGATTACCCCTTTATAAAAAATTTAATTCAAATTTGAAAAATAACTCCTTGCTAAAATTGATATTGTCATTTTGAAGTGGACAATGTGGGGTGTCATACTTTTCAGAATAATATTTTTGCATTGTATTCGAGACTACAGGAAGTGAAATTTTCCTAGTGTTTACACATGGTCATGTTGCGTGGCGTCCCGAGTAGGAAGTTGCTGAAATGTAAGTAGTTTGTTACCTAGACAGTGTTGTTGATTTTAAGACATGTGCTCAGAAATAATTTTCTCCTATAAAGTTGTAGTGGTATGTTCTAATTAGTAGTATTTTTGCATTTTTTTGAGCTGGTAACCATGGTAATCACATGTCAGAAAGCTGATGAAATTTTTGATTTACACAAATTATATCTCTCTAATATTAATGTAATTGTTATGTAGTTTATAGATATATATACATGTAAGGATGTCTCCGATACATGATTTTCACTTAGTATAAAACATCTATTCAATATTACGTTGTTGATATTAATATGAGTAACTTATGCCGTTTCAGTCTGGTGACACTATAAAAGTGCCAGCGGCCCCGTCATTTACGGTTAATAGAAGTAAAGTACCCAACAATCGATATTATCAAAGGAGAAAGAAAAACATCCACAACAACATATATGTATTTATTAATAAATTTATTTATATTTCTTTTACAAGAAGATTTGTATAAAATATAATTTAAGTAAATGTACTACAATTCTCGTTGGTACCTGATATATACAAATATAAAGATGACAAAACGCTTTTATCCAAGATATGACATTGATAAAAACATTAACAAAAATATCTTATAATTCTAACTATCACGCAAAAAAATCGCTAAACAAAACAAAGAAAAGACGGTTTGATTTTCTAGACAATTACTTCCTTAATTTGTATACCGTGATTATACATGTGCAGTTCAGCAGAGCTCCACTATCTCAACGGTATTTACGGATAAGACTCCAAGGACAATTCCAGGATATACTAGTATGGAGATACCGAAGAGATAATTATTTCATTGTAAGTTAGGGTCGAAAGGTCGTAATAAGGGAGAGTTGAGATAAAAGGTTATGTGCGCCATTTTTTCCCCTCTCTATCCTTTAAAACATTTTAGGGACTGATAGCCAATCTATGGTGCTGACTTCTAGTTTAAGCATTTAGCAGAATTTTAAAACGGGCAACAAAATCAACAATGCTTAGTCAGCGCAGTTACCGTAGATACGCACAGCACTGATCTCTCGTGCATGGGTCATGACCTCTCACACGTATGATTAGAACATTTTTCATTGCAAAAATTACAACAGAAAAAGCAGAGCAAGATCAATTAATATTGTAAAGTTTTATCACAAATCAGAATAATTTGGCAATAAGGATGTAGTGAACAAAATACATACCATTAAAAATCAAACTTGTGTAGGACATATTTTGTCGGTTAACTTAGATCAGTTCCTGCAATTAAAACAAATATGTGCACATTTTAATGAAGCTATGTGTTTCAAGTCTTGCATGTCATCAAACCAATTCATATCTACGTTTATATTTAAGCGATTATCGACAATTTTTTAATTGAATGTGCATACAAAGTTTAAAAAAATAAAACTAACACGTTCATTTCGGCCGCTATAAGAACAGTAAAACTACCTTATCGGGCAGACTAATGCTTGAGGACGAATCTTGTTAAAACTAGAAAACTGAAACAGTTGACGTAAAATGGTGTGATATATCGCAAACGCAATACAGTTTATACAAAAAAAGTTAAAACAAAATTAAAAACAAAAATCTTACAATCAGATCAAACGAGGTAAATTTTACTAACTCTACAAAAAATATCAACACAGACGAAGGAAATCACTACTACACTAACAGTCAGTGTTCACTAGATGTCATTTGTTGTCTAAAACCTTAGATAAATGGGCAGAAGCTTTATCACTTTATCAGATTTTGGTGTGCTTCCCTAATGCCATTGTTAGAAATACACCATGTTATATTCCTTGACGGACGAAATTATAGCCTTTTATTTTTATTACAAAAATATTTTAACAACGAAACACACAGTTCAGGAAAACGGTATATTTAATATTTTAGACTATGGTCACCAGCCATGTTCAGGTCATGGCATAAACATTCACACTTTTTTTAATTTGGGATATTGATATTTCCCTTTCCATCCTCTGTCTCCCTCTCTTCTCCAACCGCCCCCCCCCCCCCCTCCTCTCTCTCTCTCTCTCGCTCTCTCTCTCTCTGTAATTTATTTTTCACTTCTGGTGTCACTCCTGACTCCTAGATCAGTTGCGATGACGTTTAATCCTGTATACGTAATTTCCAACGAATTCATTTAATCTTTCAGAAGAGTCACTCCGCTTGCGTTGGTTTATTGGGGGAAATTTCATAACGAGTTCCTAAGAGTATAAAATTATTTCAATAAATTACAGGTCATTCGAGGCTAATCTTCGTGCACGTGCTTCTAATATATCCATAACATTATGCTGCTGTTATGACACTGATAACACGATGATCTGACCCTGCGGTAGTGACTGAAAACAAGTGTCATTGCAGAAGGTAGTAAGGTAATGAGATCACGAGAAAAAAAATATAAAAAAAAAGTTCAGAGGAGTATAACAATAAATATTTCAAGTCGGTTGAACATTTCTTTTTTAGTTTGTTGGTGGAAATATATTCAAATATCTCCGAGCTACATACAGTATACGTGTATATTTTAACAAGTGATTAAGTCCAGCCAATAAAGAGTTAAAAAATACATTTACATTTTAGAAATCATTTGCGCACGTTTCTGTTGACAAGTTCGCAATGCTCGCCCACTTTAATAGTACTCTTGTTAGGATGATAAAGTTCCATCATTATCTGTCCAATTATCCTAATTGAACATGATTTAAAATCGATTTCGACAATTATTGAAAATAAAACCTCCATAGCACTCTCGATGAAAAAAATATCACAGAAAAAATTCATATGTAGAAAATATATGTAATTCTATTACTGAGGTAAGCTACTTAAAACGTTAAAAAAGAAAAGAACGAGATACCGGAAAGACTAGGTGATATATAATGAGTTGAAGTAATACAAGCTTCTATAGATAAATGCTTAAAGTAAAAGAAAACAAGTGAAAAAGTACTATACAATATGTCATAAACTGTTTTTAAAAAGTATTGAAATTGGTTAAAAAAATAGAAAATATGAAATGTATTTCTAAACAATTTTACACATGCATGAATATTAAAAGAGCTAATGTTATATATCAGAATGACTAGTACATACACCGGAAGATAAACGTCGAGGTTCAACTGAAATTGAAAAATATGTTTATGTATATACATATGTAACTGTTACAGAGACATGCTGAGGAATAATTTTAATTTCTACCTGAAGCAGAAGATTTCCATCATGCCTGCGACCATGAAACATTCTATCAACATCATATTAGCATATTGATCACGTATTTTCATGTTACTGTCAAACGAGGACAATAATACTTAAAACACCGTGTTCGTCGATATTGAGTAAATTTTTTGTTGAAACTTACAGCCAGCTCCTGTATCAAAAGAAAGAGACCAATCAGGGTTAAAAGCTAACTTTATCAAATATATTATCGGTTAATATCTGATAAAATCAGGAAAGCCATTTTATGGGACCAGGAAATGTTTAAAATTCTAACCCTAACTCTGTCACGCTAACTCTAAAAGAGATATTGTTTCTAGCGTATTTACAGCGTCCTTGAACTATACGGACTTGGGTAGATTGGTCACTGACTGTGTTATCTGTCGCCTTAACAGCTCTTCTTGTTTTTGTCCTCGAAAAATAGTACAGTAGGTTTTTTCAAGGACTTGAAACAGAGGTTGTTTACATGTACCACTTTGTGACAGGACGCGAGTAATTCAGTTTCTGCTTCAAACATGGGTTAGGTAATAAATCAAAGCTTTAATTGGACAGCGTACACCAGATATAGCTATCCTGTGACGTTCCGACATTTTAAAAACTTCGGATCTGCAAGCTGAAAGCCCTACATTTGGTTTCCGGTCATGAAATTTGTAAATAGTGATTTATTAATAGAAAGTCTAACTAATAAAAATGTCAATTTTCTATACACCTGGTTAAGTGTTAACATGAAGGAAACGACAATTAAGAATTAATCATATTGCCTTCTCGCAATAGAGGTGGTCGAACTTTCCTCGTTGTTGATCTTTCCCGATATGCTATCGAAGAACACCTACCAGACACATACATATCCAAGGCTAGTAAACACTTTAAAACCTCAATCTCTGGGAGAAAATTTTCATTGATTTTAGTTTCGAGCACAACTGTTCGTAACCAACGATATGAAATACCCGGATCAACTCGTCAATGGTTGCCAAGGGTCCTTTGAAGTCCTTCCAAAACAACATGGCGTTGTACACTCTTTCTTGTATCCTGTCTTTCCCGTGATATGTCTGTTCCAGTTCTGTGATCTTCGTATCCGGGAATCGGAACTTCTTCATCATGTATCGAATCTCATTCTTATCCAGGGAAGTCTTTATCTCCTCAAACATCTTCAACAGCAACAGTTCTGATAGGAAATCAGAAAATTGTAACATGAAAGCAATATATATATATCTAGATACTATGAATTGCACTTGTAAAAATAAAAAACAACAAAATACCAACATGGCAACATAAACATAATTCAATCTCATATTCCATAAAACTAGGGTAAAATATGAACAAAATAAAGATTTACACGGCGACTCCTGAAAAAGTACATTAAGACCATGTGTTCCGGAAGAGTAAGCGTCTTCTAGTTCATCGACGACATTATCATGTAACATGTTCAAGTCGAGAGATTTACGTAATACTTTGGCCAATATTAAAGATTTCTCAACCAAGTTCACTGTACATTGTCCACAAAATCATCACATTCAAACCCCTCGAAAATTTGGAAGGCTGAAATGACCTTAGCTGTTGATAGGATGTAAAATAAACCAAACCAAACTTGATAGGATTTTTGATCAAACATAACATACTTGTCGGCATGTGCGTTTAGAAAAGTCATGACTGTGACAACAAAGAAAATACCAACATGTTAACAGAATCTTCATTCAAACACAAATTCGATGAAACTAGAGCAAAATATGAACAACAGAAAGATTTACAAAGAGAACGTACAAGGAGAATAAAGTTTTACGGAATGGTAAGCGTCTTCCGCTTTATCAAGGACGGCTGCAATGTAAATCTTGCTCAATCTCATTCAGCATTGTAGCTAGACTTCAACGGAACCACTAGGTATACTCACGAGCATCAAACACGTCCAACTTGATACTACGAAATGGAACCTCTAGACATTATAAAGACTAACCAACAATTCTAACCTCATATCGCTCCATTTACCATTTACCATACCCGAATATCTTTGGCCGAAAACAACCAATTTGAAGGAAGGATAAAATTTCCGTGCAAACATAAAATTTGCGCTTCGTTGCACAAAGTGTAACTACATTTAGATTCAAATTGTTAATTACCCAAAGCGTCACCCACAAAGTGGAACAATCATTTTCATGTCATTTCTAAGTCAACAACAATGACGTCATAATGGCCACGGTTGGATGCTCTTCATTAATTTTTAATTGTATTTATTTCTGTTATGTATAGTCTACAGTCACATTGTCGTGCAAATGTAAATATAAATTCAGAACTAACCTTCACGCTCCATCGCTCGTCTGATGAATCGACCAATTGGCTGCATAACGCCACTAACACAAATATCCATCGGTGGCGTCTTTAGTGGGTTGTTGTAGAGGCGCAGGTCCTTTAATCCCGAAAGGTTGTCGAAATTTTCCGGAAGTGACGTCAGCGAATTATTATTCAAATGTAGCACTTTGAGATTTTTTAGTTCACAGAGAGCCTCAGGCAAAACACAAATGTCATTGTTGTCCGCTACGAAGGACTGGATGTTCTTCATGCCGTTGATGGTGTTCGGGAGTGTTCTCAGTGTGTTATTGGACACTATCAGATAGGAAAGTCCAGAAAACTCAACCTCATCCGGAAGTGAAGGAGTCGGATGTCCGTTCCTCTGGTCATATTTCAGACGTTCAAGATTTGGTATAGCAAACACTATTTTGGGAAATTGTAAGAACTGGTTATTTGAAATGTCCAAATCAGCGAGTTCATTCATTCCTTCAAATTCTTCAGGAATATCGTCAAGTAAGTTGTCAGAGAGATCCAAAACATGGAGGTTCTTGATGCCACAAAAATCAGGGTCTAGTGTGCGGATCTGATTATTGCTCAAGTTCAGAACACGCATTCGATCAAATCTCGAAACGTCTTTTGGTATAGCTTGTAGCTGATTGTGTCTCATGTCTAAAACCTCTAGACCTCTGAGTGAACACATCGATACGGGAAACTCTGTGAACGCATTTCTGCTAAGATTAATTTGTTTCATTTTACTCAAACTTCCAAAATCTTCTGGAAGTGCAGAGACTTTGTTACCATCAGAGAGAAATATTTCCATACCGTGAAGGGAACTGATAGCTGGAGGAAGAACCTCGAAAACATTGTCTGTTAGCACTAAAGAATGTAAGTGACGGAGATTCTCCAGCTCCACTGGGAGGTCGGAAATCTGGTTCTTCAGCAAGCTTAGAACTTCCAGATTCGAGCACCAGCAAAGATTCTCCGGAATTTCCTTGATGTAATTGTTCCCGACGTAAATTTCCTTGAGATTGTACAAGTTGGAGATATTATCAGGGATTTCCCGTATCTGGTTGTTTTCCAGACCCAACACCTCTATTAAATGTAGATCACATAGCTCGTCAGGAATGGCCTCGATCTGGTTATTGTTAAGTCCTAATATTGTAAGATTCTTGAGGTTGCCAATTTCCGGTTGTATCGCCTTTAATTTGTTGCCGCTCAGAGCAAGTTCCGTCAGGGTTTCCATCCAATATACCTGAATTGGAACAAACTCAAACTCATTATCGTCTAAAAGAAGTTGTTCTAGACATGCAAAGTTTTCCGTTTCTCTCGGTAAGTTTGTTATGTGGTTTCCTGATAATGCGAGTCTGCGCAGTTCCTCAATTTTACACACTTCCGCCGTGATAAAGTCGAGTATATTTCTCTCCAATGCAAGCACCTTTAGATTTTGACAGTGGCCGATCGTGTTGGGAAGTTCGGAAATCCTGTTTTCACTAAGAATTAGATACTCGAGCTGTTCCAGGTATCCAATTTGTGCTGGAATGCGCGTCAGTCTGTTTCCGCTGAATACCAGCTCGCGCATGTCAAGAAGACTTGCAATATCCGGTCGTATTTCAGTAACTTCGTTATTGGAGAAATCTAGCACACGAAGATGATATAGTAGATATATGCTATTAGAAATGACATCTATGTTATTGTTTGGCACTTCGAGAATCTCTAAATTTACTAGTCTCTCTATTTCGTCCGGGAGACTGGTTAAACCGTTGTCTCCGAGCATCAGATGTGTGAGTTTTTCGAAAGAAAATACTCCATCCGGAACGACCATCAACATCTGTTCATTCAGATCAATTGTCACGTTCTGTCCGTCATCAAATAAGTAGTCGTCTAGGTTTAGCGGTTCTGGTTCCGGTTCTTCATCAATTTCTGTCAATTCCTGCGAAGTTTCCCGAACGTCATTCGGAACATCATCGGAATTCTCCTGTGGAACGTTTTGGTCCTCTGGAGGTCCCACGGGATCCGCGGAACCGTCCATGTCTGTAAATGATTCAGAAATAACAATATAAAATGTAGTCGACACAGCATGAAATACTAAGTTCTTATTATAGTTTGTTTAGTTTCCGCTAGGTGTCACGTTGAGATACTTTCCGGCTAGAATTGGACAAAGACACAAAAATGGGCAGCACATTTCAATAGGAATTTTGAATTAAATGCAATATAGCAACATTAATATATTGAATTTACTCGTTCACATGTTTCGTCCTTCTACCACTACCAGTGATGCTATGGGCCTAAATCTAAAACGCAGTAGGCGCCTAAGGAACGCTAAAATTGACTAACAGTGTCTAACACCTGCTATTTCGAAGCTTGTACAAATGACACTCAAGTGAATATCACCTGAGAGAACTGGTCTTACGAGAGCTAAACCAATACCTTAAGAAACAACGGACCATATTTACTACTGTACTACTCAATATATCATAAATGAATTATGAAATCGATCTTTATTTAATTCATTTTCTTCCCTCATCGATTTTTCTGTCTTCAGATAAAACACCATCTTGTTTACTTCACTTATTCGCTGACACTTTTAAGTGGTAAATAATCACGTCTGACCACTGCCTAGTGTCCCTACTTAACTGCTTCCTTCGCCCGGAAACTTGTATTCAGGTAACTAGAAAATCGATACTGAAACCAATTTTAAATGTAACATACTGTTTGACGTATCTGTGATACTTGTGGTCTGTAGTTTGTATATCTGTCCCAAGATTCATCAATTCTCTTCGAAAATACCCCCAGGTCGTTATCCTAGATATACAATGCGGCAAAGTGGGCGTGTATAGAAACAGCACAACAGATCTATAGTTATAGATAAAAATTTATTTCTCTTTGAAATCTACCAATGGATAACCATCAGCTTTGGAGTATCATGGAGACAGGTGTGGTATTTGTTTACAGTTGTGAGCTAAAATTCAAATACACGTGATCTAATTGTCGTTTATTTATTTTCCCCATATGTTTCTCCTATTTTTCACCTTCAAAGTCATGAATATATCATAGCTTCTTGTATACGGTTCGTGAAACAGAACAACCCTGTTTATTTGGTCGGATATTTATATGCAGAGGTCACATATTTCTCTTCCGGTCGTCCTCCGAATTAGAGTTTATAGACAGTCTTTTTATCATTATTAAAAGCAAGACTTAATTACATAAATTATATAATATATAGTATAGATGTAAATATATCATTTATCTAAAAAAACTATACGATATACAGTTGATTTATACACAATTAATGGCTGAAAACTTTAAAGTTTTAAAAAATATTTCATTTGTTGAGCAAAGAACACAAAGACGCCTTTGCAAAGAAATACAAATTGCTTAAAAATATTGAAATGTCAGCTTTCTGAAAAGCACACAAACTTACATTATTACCACAAAAAGTGAGTGAAATAATTTGGCTTTATTTATCGTTGGTTCGCGAAGGTTAATAAGTATCAAGGGTTGTATATTTGTTGACCAAGATTTTACAAAGTGTATAGAATCCTATAACTGGTGGATGTTTAAAGGTATCAGATTATAGGATCAACGACGTAGAAGGTTAAGAAAACAGGGTCTAATAGAGTTTTCCATTACATGAGATTGTAAGCTTCGCGACAGGTTGACATGTTTTAAAGTAAAGATGAAAAGGACAAAATCAAACACAGGTAGCCATTTTGATGTACCATGTTCAATTTATGGTGTAAAGTCATTGTTGATATTATGACATCACGTTCGATTTCTGTGTGGCGCAAACAAGGAAAAGCTATCCATGGTATATAACACACCGACACACTGGATAACAGGCGGATCATGTGATATAATCTAGTATTGATTTATTCCTTTTATAAGTCAGACTGGAAATTAATTTTCGTTACATCCATCAAAAAAATCCGAAAAATAAATATATATGATATTCACAGATAATTGAAACGGTAATTTTTCAGAAACCTGTATAAGCAATGTTTTTGTGAGATAAATTCTCTGAGTTCATTATCAAAATAAGATCTCTGAAGGTGATTAATATTCATAATCTAGTCGTACAAATGTGACTGACGCTGTTACAATTTTATGTATAGAGTTAGGCAGGCTGTCAATTTATTCTATAGAAACATACACGGTCACGAGAAAGTATGCCACTGGCAGGTGACCGAGGACTCACCTTTGACATAAGACTTGAAAGCGACCTAACAGTCATTACATTCGTACATGATATTACGAACTGACATTGCTCAATTTAAATTATAATTGAAGCTGTTTGTTGCTAATTGAAATCAGTACAATTCATCATTTAAACGAAAATCACCTGTTTATTTTTTTTAAGTGTACTTCACATTAACGAGTAATTTCAATAAGACGTTTTTAATTTCCGTTATTATTTCTCGTGAGTTATTTATGACAATAAAGATGCTGCACTTTGATGCACTTGAAGTCATCAATAGTTTGAATACATATGCATGTGTATGGGCCGTGGGTTGGAAATTCGCGTCAAGTTCCTGTGGGACGGTAGTGAGCGATGGGTTATACTGCATGAAGAAACTAGAGTGTCCCGGGGAAACCCATTTAGTGGGGCATGTGACTCCGCGCGTCCGATCGAGGATTCAAACTCGATGCCTTGTTTAAAGGTGTTCCCTGTGATGTTCATTTTGTTTCCGACAACCCAAAGTATGGTCCTCATCATCAATAAATATATATATCTATAAATTTCATTTATTTTACAACAATTGCAAAAGAAATTATCAGTCTATATAAACCGCTCTTATTGACCCGGATAGAAGCGCGCTGGGGGTCTTTCTGTGGGAGGAAACCGGAGTACCCGAGGAAAACCCACGTGGTCAGGCAGGTGAACCCTATACCTTTTCACGTCGTTCTTGGAATCGAACCCAGGACCGCTAGGTGACTGAAGGCGAGTACGTTACTACTGCGCCACCCGATTACCAAATCAATCATGTAGTGTCAGAAATATTCTCGATCGTTTTTATTCCTGATATAATTTGAAATTATCAGTGATCTTCATATTTTAGTCAATTCAGTATTGATTAATTATAGTCCGGTTAAACAGTCTCGGTACAGCAGTAATGCTGGGACAGTGTTGAGGTATATATTATACCTATAATGGATCCTTCTCAGTATTTACATATTTGTTGACAATGTTAATGGCTTTCTGGCCACACAAACCACGGGCATTACATTCACAAACCATTGAAATATATATTGATCAAATCTAGATTTGTAAATGTAAACAAATTCCATAAAATATTTGCCGACATCAACAAAACTGATGTACTATTGTCTAGCGTTAAGGAACCAAGCATATTTGAAATTTAAAAACTTCATCGATATGGGTCAAGCATTCTTAGATTACATTATGATATTGTCATAATCATAATATAGAGCGTGTAAAGTTACATAAATTTGATGGGCAATTGTGTGTATTAATAAATGGCTTAGACTATATAATAGGGCGGGGGTTCACTTGTTCAAAGAATTGGTAGAAAACACACCATTCGCCACAAATATTCGTTTAACATATAGTTTAAAAATATATATAACAAAATTAAATGCTTTAGGTAGAAGGGAAAAATGAAATTTTCTTTTGAAAAAAAAAAGAAAAAAAGTAATTTTTCAAACATTGCATTTCAAATTTATATGTTATCAAGCTAACCGTTCTTTGAACAGGTGTATTATGTACGTGTCTTAGCCCAGGTGTGCTTGGGCATATCATTAATTAAACTAACTGAAAATGTTTTCATTGTATGAAATGATCAAATACCATATTTTAGACGATATCGACTTACTCAATTATATCTTTAATACAAATATAATGGCATATGTATTGACATGCTTTGTCTGTCCCTTACCTTGTATATACCATTAAGTACTTACAGAAATGAGGGGCCATGAATTTATTTGTCAAAGGGTTTAGATATTATTGTCATAGGTAAAATGGTCATGAGTGTATATAAATGAAACCCGTGTTTGAACTTATACATGTATACAAATACGTGCACTGACGGTTTAAAATATTAAAATAAAATCGAACCTGCCTTTCACTCTGAAAAAATCGCTTGCTGAATAACATATACGAGTCGGTGATTAGTATTCACATATACAACACTATAGCCGAACAAATAGATTCGTCTCCAGATTCATCCACAACCGTCTGCAAAATCTTGTACTGTGTCGTATTAACTATGCAGACAGCAATGAATAAAAATTATTTTGAATAGAGAGCTGAAAATGTTTTCAGACCTGGTAAGATTTTTACAACCCTCAGACACACTATACATCAAAAGTTTAACAACCCTCAGACACACTATACATCAATGATCTCAAGTTTGATTTATATTCGTCTAATCACATTGCATTATAATAATTTCTTGATCAAATTAGATTTTCAAAGGACCTCCTCGTTCATTTTAACAACGACAGTAAATCAAGGAAATGTGATCCGGCCTTGACCAATTGTCTATGGTTGTCTAAGTGTTAGTCTACACGTAGGAGAGAAAAGAAAATCAAAAGGACCAAAAGTACAAAAAGGTTATCAAATCTCCCTGCCAAATGTCACCATATATTTGTACCTCAGATCGTCTTTTTGACAGAGTTTGTGAAGATCTAGGTCCTTTGTTTGTCTTTTTTGTATGCTTTTTTAAATTGTGATATTTTTTATGTATCCAATGAAAACATGCTAACTTAAACATGACATATACAATAAAATGAAGTAAGTTCATTTCAATGTTTTGTCAACATACAGGTAGCGAGTTGAGGTAATATGCAGTTGTAGACCATGCCTGGATTTATAAATGCTATACATGCGTTAAAGAATCAGAGTGTTTTTTTTTTTAACAAATACATTATTTTCCACCTACAACACTATCTAACTGTTGGTTTGTTACATACAAGTACCCAGAATTCAGTCCAGACTTTGCCTTTCCTTATCTTGTCTTCTACCTTGACAACTCTGTGGCTCTGACACCATAACCGACCTATGATACCCAAATATTGTTTATTTTTTATTGCAGGTGAACATATACAGCGTGTGTTAAGCTTATATACTAAGATTGACAGACGGTATTGAATTTCATATGAAGTTAAATCACGATTTATTTTAGATTATAGATGTGTCAAGCTTAAGATTGACCAGTTAATGACAAAACAAATACGTGCCAGCGAAGCCAAGGTATTTTAACAGGATATGATTTTTATCTTTTCAGTCGATCGATATTTCATTTACATTCCATTTCAGTGTATACAAGATTTATGTGGCTACAGGAAAATTTGAGCTAATTGATGGCTTTAAATAATTCAATACTGATTTAACAACAAAATTCTTAAAAAGTTTGCATTAACGTCGGTTACTGGGGGGCAGGGGTGGGGATGCAGGTAATGTGACTGCAGTCACGGGGAATGATAGTTGAAAGCCTAGTGATGTGTATTGCACCACAAAAATTCCACTTTCGAAGGTGTAAAATGTGAATGGATCCTGGGATGAATATCTTAAGACCTGATTTCGTGCAATCGAATCGAATGGCTGTTTTCAGGAAAACGGATGCAGTGAAGCGGAGGAACAGGGGGAGTGTTGAATACTTTTTCGGCAAAGCGTGTCAAAGGATGAGGTATGGTATGAAGGAATGTGGTGATTATGTTTTCTTATAAACCGACCCAAATAAAGATATCACCGAGACGAAATGGGGGTGGGGGAAGGGAGTTTGGGGTTGGGCCAGGACGCTGCGAAGAGAGGGAGTAAGTTTTCGGTTTCCGGAGTTTGAGAGAAGGAGGAAGGGGTAAATGTTTTTCAGGAAAACTGTAATCCATATAAGATGTATATTTATACTTGGAATGTCAATCAGCCATTGTCAGTGTCGAGTAATTTTAAGCGAAATAACACTTACTGCTTATCGCAAACATGAACTTCAGTATTCAATAACAAACGATACAGCCACGTAAGTCTGTGCTTTTTTATGCGATTTTCAAATATAATCTACTATATTGATCACCGTACACAAAACAGACCCAATAAGCCAATGTTCGATGTATTAAGAATTGAAAAAAAAACATAAATATATGTATAATAAAAAGTAAATTAATAGGCCTAGTATTAGGCACCAGTTCCTCATGGTAGGCAGGTGCCCCTTTAATCTAATTAACGAAAAGTCTTATTTAGAAATATGACATTTCATATAGTAGTTCAGCATCGTGCAAATATGAAGTGATTAATCAAAATGCACTCCCTTAGCCGATGTATACGTGCCGATTATTCGTCTACCCCATGTGCACACACACACATACTATGTGTGTATAGTATGTATATATACATATTATATATATACAAATACATTTAATATACGTGTACAATGTTGACATCTGCACAAGTTCTAATAACAATTTAAACACACAAGAAAAGGGTATCAAAACCGATATTGCTACAGCAACATACCTGTCTCTTTCATTTATCTCTATTCAACACATAGATATCCAGATGAAGTTGGAATATAGCCGGCTAAGTCCTGTCTAATCACCGAGGACGCTTTGGGTTGCCAAGTGCGAATAACGAGATCGGCGATAAGTCTGCGTGAAGTAACGAGAAGTGGGAGTAATCACGCGCATGACCGGAACTGTAAAAAATATCAACATGGCAGCCACCTAGTTCGGCGAAACTGATGATGTTATGCTAAGAGACCTAGAAGAATAATGAATATTATTACTTTACACCTTAAAAGCTAATTTGCATGAAGTTGTGTTAATCAACATTGTAAGTAACCTTGAATTTTAGCCATATCACATTGGTAGTTTGGTTTGATTTCACACCGAATCAAGGAAGTGTTTGATAGTTCGATGTTCTTCAGGTCTGTTCGACCCCTCCCCCTTTGAGAGTGGTGTGATTGAATATAGCTTTGCATGACTTAAAATTCTAATATTTAGGTTTCTATGTCACTGACAGCTAAACATGTATGACCAACAAGTGTGGGTACTGCCTACGTGTCAATTTTCATGACATAGCTGTGAAAAGAAAGTATGTTTCACTTCCTAGAAAACAAACGAATTCATCTTTCAGTAAAAATAAAGACTACAAGGACACTCTGCAAAAAGAACATGTATTAAATTGAATGGAAACTATGACTCTTCTCTCAGGTAGGATTCGTCCTTTGCAGCACATTTCTGGCTTAGGCCTTAGGTCTTCTTAGACAGAGCCTGAGTACTCTTCCTGCTTTCTCTGATCAGCTTAGACGGTTCTCGGATTCATGAGACTGAATAGAGTGTCATACGACTGTATTCCGGTTAGCCTTTTGTGGCTGTAATGACAACCAATTGCAATGTAACTGTTATACACATTATGTCTTTGGTCTTAATTTATACATTGATTGTTTGAAGAGGCAACATGGATCATAATTTCATTCAAAGTTATCATTTTATTAAGATCTCCTTCTGAGGGATTTCATTGCTCCATGATGTTTATACTCTGTTATGACAAAGGTGGGTGTTTTCTTATTAATGTTATAACAACACAATCTACCTTATATTCAGATGATGCAGACACACACGTCAATATATAACAATAACAATAGTATAAGTTTATCAGATAAATATATATATATGGATATGAACAAGGAAATCCCTTGCTGGAGATATTATCACTGTAACACATGTATTATACAGCTTTATATTTTGTTTTTGTGATTTCGGTTTGTGTGACCTAGAATTGTGTTTACATATACACAAGGTTTATGTATCTATCTACTAAACATCAAATTGGTATACACAGATAAGATTATCTTGTTCTATTATAGCTGGTTGACATTTAGATGTTGAACTTTATATGTAATATTGTGGCTCTGACAGTTTTCTGGTAGATTCCTCTTTCTTTATTTCATTTATTTTTTTTTTAATTAATTATCTCCAGTAATAACCTGTAATAAGGAAACAGGATTTGTTATAGAAAATTAAATAGCATTTGTTTGAAAATCTACTAAATATAGCACTAGATATGGTACAATGAGTTTACTACCAGACAAAGATTTATTGGCATTGCTATAGGAACATAACCAAGCAATATTTTTTAACATTCTGGTCAGAATTTTGTAATATAAGTCTTAGTGCAATACTAAAAGTATTTATGAAAAGGGGAAAAGAGCCAACACCGTTATTGAATATAGGTACATTTCTTAGTTAATACAGTCACTGGAGAACGGATATCTAAAGATATGCATGGAGTCAACCAATCTTCCTGTTAACATATTAAGGATATCATAGAAGAGTGATCTCGACATTGACCAGCTTAACAAGATCTTGTTCAGCTGGTCACTGTTGAGATCACTCATCTATGATATCCTTATTACATTAAAAATATTTATGTTTCAATCAAATTTATACATTCTGAATATGTAGTGTCCAGTTTGAAGCAGTCCTGTGAAATTCGATTTTTGATGAATTGGAAATATTTTTTATGATATGTAATTAATTATGGTGTATTAATTATGTTTCAGACTTTGCCCAAGATGGGTTCCATGAAAGATAACAAGGATATAGCTTGCTATTTTATAACTAAGCACTCCTGGAAAGGGAAGTAAGTAGATCTCAGAAGACCGTTAAATCACTGTTGCTTATATTTCCTTTTTTAGCAGTGTAATAATATGTTTCTTCCTGATGATAAAATGTATATGTATATATATATATGTAACCCTGGTAAAATACTATATATATTTATGGTTTTCTTATCTCTTCACTGCAATGATGATATTAGTTTTTATCATGTTGACAAATTCCTATATTTCACAGGCAAAAATGGAGAAAAGATATATTCTGTCATATCAGTGAAATATATAAAGGATATCCAATGGGAAACGTTAAAATTTTCTTTCTATGACACATTCAAAAGAACAGCATTGTTAAAAGCCAATCCAAACATAAAGTAAAATCTGGTGTCCTAAAAAGACAGAACTGTACATTGTATGATCGCTCATGGAATTATATGTATTTCAAAGATTTTGATATCCTATATAAGCTACAGTACTTTAAGATTCCTATCATCTTTAAAAGGAGAAATTCTTTTGAATAGCACTATCATTAAATTTATGTTAAAAGAAGTCTATCATTAATAATGATCTATGACATTTTGTTTTCCAGATACAAGAGGATTTTCTCTGTTGGGACGCTTGGAATCACAACCTATAATCCCCAGACTTTGGAGGTCACAAACCAGGTCAGTCTCATTTTCAGATATGTTCTGTCTCTATATTTAAAGGTTTCTTATGCATAGACTTTTTCACATGTTCTTGTATTAAAAATAATACATTTTATTTAGTTAATGATAAATGGAAGTTTTTCCAAAGAATTTAGATGATGGAATTTGATCAAAAAGATAACAAGTCTCATCAGTTGCTAGGATTTTCGGATTGTTCTTTGTCAGAGATCTGTCCCTCCATTCTGTTATCAACTACTAACAGTTTGGCTGAAATTTCTCCAGACATCACTTGAGGGATCTTTCAGAGACACCACTGGAGGGAACTTTGTGCTTTCCACATTTTGAACTTATTTGGAAATTCAGATGTTGGTGCGAAGTTATTTTAGCTTTGGGAAGTTCAAGGTTTTTACAACTATTTGTCCTAAAGTACTGAAGAGATCTTCTTGAAATTTTTAGAAATTTCTCTATCTGTGCTTTGCCATAGTGTGTAGATTTTCATGAGAAAATATATTTTTCAGATTGTGGCAGTAATTTCAGGAACCAAATTAGTGTTTTCATCCAGAAAGATTTTCATATAACATAGTATAACTGTGGTCTTCTAGGTGCTTGAAGGGAACTTCTGTGTGTAGGATATGTTCTAGTTGTGATTGACACATTTGTTCATGTTCACATGTTCAGATTTTCAAGACTGCAGCAATAATCTATTTGAATTTTGTCGTTTGAAGTTTGAGAGACCTGCTCTGTGTATGTTCTGATTATAACTGTAGTTTGCGTGACTAAATACTGTAATCAAGATCGCCACCAGGTGTTTCTTGACATGTTAATTTCGATTGAAAGTATGCACATAATTAAGTTTACGAACCTCTATTAGCAGAACTACCTGAAACCTTCAGTAGACTAGCATTATGATGAAGTGTATTTTATAGTGGGCTTATGAGGAATTCATCAGCATTGCACCAAATGTGAGAGCTCCTACCAACAATGAGTTTATCATTACCATGAAGAAGGGTAAGAAGACAGACTCGATGAAATTTTCCACAGATCATCGACCAGATCTCCTTACTGAAGCACTGGTATGTAGATGATCTTCTTTCCTTTTCTATGTACTTTACATTGTATTCAGAACTAATTTCATCAACTCCATCTATAGAGGTTGAATGAAATGCTATGTGTGTTTTCTCTTCCCTGATCTTTTTAGAAAATTCTTCCCACCTGAAAGATGCTGTTAAAGACAATTTTTTTTAAAAAAATCATGAATTCTATCACCAATTCAGTTTATTGAAATCAGTTACATTAAGGGACTGAAAAATATTTCATTGTTATCATCTATGACGATATGTTATCAATCATTTGGTTCAAAATGTAAAAAAAAAAAGATAGATAACAAATGCCCAGGTTGTAGTACCTACCTGCAGTAAAGTTTCTGTTGTACATAAAAATTGATATTTAAAATAGTTTATTTTCATTTTATTCGCAGAAATTTAGGAACAAATTTGCAGAAGTCACAAAAACAACAAAGGTAAGCCACATATTCATGGTTATTTTGAAAATATCTTAATTATTAAATAAGATTGAATAAACAAAGAATTCATATTTTTATATTAATTTTTGGTTTAATAAAAACTGCTTTGCAGTATTCCTTTTGGTCAAAGTTTCTGAACAAGGAAAATAATATTACATTTCTATTGTATCTACATGCTAATCTAATTTTTTTTGACAGAGGTTCAATGCTTTCAAATGTCATTGGTCAGAAAACCGTGTCCCTGTGATTCTAGAGGTCAATCCAGGATCACTGGATCAAATTGACCCGTCCACCAACAAGATGCTGTGTTCTTACCTTTACAAAGACATGGAGGGTCTCACAAAGGTAACTTTCATTTCATAAGTCGTTAAAGACAATTTTCTAATGAGTATTGTTTGCAGAGATTTTTACTTTCTGATTCAGGTAATCATCAATTTTTAGCAGTTGTACATATAGAAGTGTAGCTACATTTTCTCTTAAATTTAAAGGGGCAAAAACATGTTTCAAAACATTGGATTAAAATGAACAAAGTCACTTTTGTAATTTACAATTTCAATTATTTTCGTTATTCAATTTGTTCTTTATTTATGTTAATTCTATGTGATTGATTTAAAGAAGAAATCATTGAAATGAACTAAGCTGATGATTTGAATTGAATTCTGTGTCACAGGTGACAGATTACCCAGGTGGAGTGGCAATCATTCATGGTGGATTTAGTCGGTTGGTGAGTACTCATTAGATTAGATTAATCAGTATATTTTCAAGCAAGTTTGACCAAGTCTGATACTGCAATGTTACAATTAAAATTTTACTTCAAAAAATGATGAACCTTGCCTTGTAAACTACATGTATCACTACCCCAATCCAAAAATCAAGTAAAATATTCCATGTCTGATTTATTGATTGATTGATTGATTGATTGATTCGTTTATTTTTTTTATTTATTTATTTATTGTCAATATGACTCTTAAAGAAGAAAAAATTCAATTGATGATTTTCATTCCAAACTTATAATTATTTTTAAAAAAAATATTTATGATTGGGCACATGAGCTAATAAACTACCATGACAAAAAGATAAGATATCTAGAGGCATACCTGGTTTTGAACTGCCTTTTGAAATTAGAGTTACTTCCCTTGTAGCACCTCTTTGCCCTGGAGCAGAAAGATGACCTAATTAAGCATGTGATGGAGTCAGCTGCTGCTTATGTTGGAATTGCTGTGAAACAGCGGCGAGAACCAATAACATTCCAACAATTCATCCTCAACAGGATGGGAAAACACAGGTAAGAAACAAAAACTGGTTATATAAGTATTCAGATGTTATTTATACTGTAGTATGTGCTTAGTATTGTCAGATTTCTTTTTTGTTGTGATTAGAATAAACTGGGGAGAGAAAAGATACACACTTACATGAAAATGTACGATTGAGAAAAGACATGATTTTATTTTACCTCACTACCCAGAAGTAAACTAAATTCTAATTTTCTGTCATTTACACATTCCCCTCTCATATATTTTTATGTTCCTGCCATTTGATGCCCGATTAATTGTCTGTTTGCTGGATGAAATCTACAATGTTTGCTGGATGAAATCTACAAGTATCAGCTAGATTTAAATGAATATTTATCAATTATCTTTTTGCCGAATTTTATATAAAAGTTGTTGCTTCTCAATTTCAAGCACTGATGAAGCATTGACGTCGTATGCAGAATTTATGGTGCAGAAGATTTCACCGCGTCACACTGACAATGTGAGGCGAACACTGTGTTTATCTGAGACATGTATGGTAGAGAGAGATCCAGCCACGTACAACGTGGTTACTTGTAAACCCCTCTGTGATGTAAGTACAGTCATCCCTTCACTGTCTCTGATCTTTCATAGTAATGTTGGCAAATTGTGAAATTATGATAAATGAGGGAAAAATGGTTTTCATTGATATTGTAAAATAAAAAGACATATTCTACTTTATGAAATAAATTTGATTCTTAAACATTTTTGATGGAAATTTATTGAAAGCAATACACCTTCCAACTCTAATATTGTCTATTTTTCAAAAGAAGTATTTAAAAAAAAAAGAAAAATAATATTTAAAAAACTAACCTGGTAAATACAAGCAGAAATATACCAGTAAGCCAGAGGTCCCGGGTTTGAATCCTAGCAGAGACAATGACCTCTGTTACAAAGTAGATATATCAGTTATTTGAGAGATTTTATTGTCATCTGATGAAGTGTTGAATATTTGAATATTCTACAATTTCTGTTGTGCTGAAATAGTAAGGAAAAATTTTGACCCCATGACTGATTCTGACTAACCTAACTAACCAGATAGTCAACCTTTTGTGTAGAAGTCTATCTCCTGTAGCGTGCTGGAACGGTTATCAAAACAAATATTTTGACCGCATGACTGATTCTGACTAACCTAACTGTAAACAGATAGTCAACCTTTAGTGTTGAACTGTATCTCCTGTAGGGTGCTGGAACGGTTATCAAAACAAAACTGATTCTGACTAACCTAGCTGTAAACAGATAGTCAACATTTAGTGTTGAAATGTATCTCCTTAGGGTGCTGGAACGGTTATTTTGACCGCATAACTGATTCTGACTAACCTAACTGTAAACAGATAGTCAACCTTTAGTGTTGAACTCTTTATCTCCATTAGAATGTCACAAATATTATACTGTACTCTATTTACATCGGATTACATGCTGTTCAATCATATGCTGCAATATACAACACTTAAATTTACATTTACTATTTCTTGGAAATCTCGCTCACTATAATACTTCAATCAAGATGGACTCTGTCAGATCACAGAAAGGTTAACATTGTTGACCCATACATAATATGCTGCTGACCTCTGGGTTTTACATAAAAATAGAAACAAAATCAGTCAGTGCTATAGGAGTTCATGTTTACACTTATAATCATCAAGATGAGGTGTTGATACAAAGATTTAAATGTAGGTAACAGACTTTTACTGTATACAACACTGGATTGTTTAATTGCTTTACACTATCAAAAAGTACCAACAGAAGTGTGGACAGGATATTAGGCTGCCTGTTAATTTCTCAATTTATTCAGTGTTAAGTTTTTCAAAATATTTTTCTCAAAGTCACAAATTTTTTTTGCATTTTTTTCCTCAGATTTTTGCAATAATTCGTGATAGTGAAAACCCACAAAAGTTTAGTATTGAATATGTAAAAGGTGCAATAAGGACATACCTCTCTACAGACAGGTAAGTGAAATGAGCACAGCTATCTAACTTTTAAGTCAAATGCCTGAGTCGCTAAGACAGGCACTTCATCACATTCAGACCAGATATATTTTTGGAATATAAAAAAATATATCTATATAAACACAATGGGGTTATCTGTATGCTAATTTTTATATGTTTAAAAAAGAAAAAACATTAGTTTAGTTCCTCATTTTAGCATGATTTCAGAAATCTAGGTTCAGATTTCTGATACACGTAACATACATGAAAATAATAGTTAGTGTGACACCATGTTAAAAAATGAGAAAATTTGTGGACAATATATCATTGTTATACTGTCACATGATTATCTTTATTGGCCAATCAAATGTTATGCCTTAGAAGAATTGATATTATATGTAAGAGTGATGGAATGTTGGATTCTTTAATAACAATTCAGTGTTAAATTTTCCATTCTTTTCTTTACAGAGATGCTTTGATAGCATCGTTACTGGATGGTGTGAGAGCATCCGGAAATCGTGATGTTTGCATCAAAATGAAATTCACACACAGAGGCTTTAGATTAGGTAGGTGGAATTCTGATCTACTGTTAAAGTGATACTGTAGTTGTACCTGAATTTTTTATAGTCCCTGTTCACTTAGTTTATAACTCAGCTGGTTTGAAGGACCAATGAGCTTATGTCATACCATAATGTCTGTCTTTCAACTTTTTCTACAAATTGCAACTAGTTTTGAACTACATTGCAGATTTTGAACAAATTTGGTCAGATGCATCCTTAGTGAAAGAAAAAAACTATGTTGTATATATGGTGGTTCTGAGCTCACCTGGTCCAAAGGACTGCTTAATCTGAATTGTGTTTTTTGTTTTATCCCTGTAACCATTACCATTACCAATTTCTTTTGCAGGCCCCTTTACTGTTCCTGTCGACGAAGAAGTAGAAAGTCAGCATTTGAAAATGATGATACAACCAGGTAACTATTTATATTTATGATTTTAAACAAAAGATGGGGTTGTATTATGTTATTTATTTATATTTTTAATTTCTTTTTTGCAGTTTTACTTGTACAAAAAGCCCATTTTTTCAGGTGTTCAGGCCCTGAAATATGATTTCATGATAATTTTTTGTGTTTTTTTCTCTGTATAAATTATTTATTGAATGTCAACCTGTTTAAAGATTACGATATCTCAAGTTAATTGGGAGAAATGTATCAGGAAGTTTTTTATAGTATCAATAGCAACAGCAGAAATATCAATCCAGCGGTTATATTTCTATCAGAATTGATATGTAAAATAAAAAAAAAAAAAGAATAGTCATATTTCTCTTACACACAATGTATAACTCTTTACTGTGGTAGAGGGACAACTTAATTCCACATCAGATAAAAAATGGTGATAAAATTGAAACACTTATTCTTTGGGGATACTGCTATCAGCCTAACATCTATGTACCCTATGTACCAGTGAAGTGTCTGATTTGGAACCAGAACCAGAATGAAGCAAACTTTTGAAATGAATCAGGTTTTTTTTTTTTTTGAATTTGTTTTTTAGAAAATTTTAGATTTTTAAATATTTATTTCAGTTTCTATGACATTTGATGAAGCTGTAGCCAGATTTAACAGTAATATATCCTATAGTGGACTACTTCATGCTGTTACACAAGATGTAAGTATATTAAATGTCACACCCGAGTCGAGATTTGTAATATCTATACACATAAAATTTGATAGAATTCTTAATACTTGATGGGTGGTATATTGTTGATACTCTATAGAAAATGATTTAGAAAATAATTTTGAATATTTAAATTTCAGGGCCTGTTTGCAGAGAACAAAGAAAAGCTAATTAATGGTGCCCTAGGGAGTCTGTTGGACCGAGAGGGAGATCAGAACTCAATTCCAGTAGCTTGTCTGGAAGCTCAATTCCATGCTCTTAGACGATTAGTCGCTTCAAAAGCTGGATTCCAGGCCTTCACAAACTTACCAAAGTAGGTCATAAACTTAACAAAGTAGGTCACAAACTTATCAAAATTGGTCACAAACTTACCAAAGTAGGTCACAAATTTACCAAAGTAGGTCATAAACTTACCAAAGTAGGTCACCAATTTACCAAAGTAGGTCACAAACTTACAAAAGTAGGTCACAGACTTACCAAAGTAGGTCACAAGTTTATACAAATAGGTCACAAGCTCACTGGTGCTGATAAAATAATTTACAGAAATAGTTTAAACTGCACATTTCTAAAGGCAGCTGACTTAGTCACAAATGTATATAAATAAAACATAAGTATACAGGTGTTAAAGCAAAATTCAAAGTTTACAAAAGGTATTGATTAAATTCAGTAAAGTATGATATTGTTTTAAAAGTAGGTTTCCGAGTTTTGGATATAGGTTACCGTGTGGTGTACATACACAATGATAACAAAGGTTATTTTAAGAATATGTCATAGTTTTACAAATGTCACAACAATATATGGAAAGGTACCTTTGTTAAATAGGTCTTGTTTTTGTATGAAGGGGTTAGGACTGTAACTTTGAAACAGTAAGTTTTAACACATTATGCTGTCAACTGATATCAGGGAACATGAAAGGACATTAAAAGGGTAAACGTTGCTGAAGCAGTAACCGTGTCCTGACTAAATTTGATTTGGTTTTTGTAATGGACAGGAGACATAAGAGATAATTTCACTATAACTGCGTTTTGTTGTAGAATGCGTGAGAGAGTTGGTTTGAAAGTGGTAAAAGCTTTAAAGCGGAAGGACTCCGGTGTGACACATGCAGCGGTGGACATGCTGTGTGCTCTGATGCAGGTATATAACCAACGTTTTAACCAGTATGCCATAAAAATATTGTAGCCTTCCTGTTAATCTCTGTTTTAGTAAATTGTACTTCTGAAATAAAACAGAAATGGAAAGTCAGAAAGGGAGATAACTCACTATGAGATAAAAATGATAATTATGATTTATTTTACCTGTTGTTTGTCCTTTATCTGTAATCAAAGCATTGGGTTGAAGTCATAGTTACATAGGATTTCATAGCTAATCATGTCTTCTGTGAATAGAAAGTTGATGTGAACAGTGGAACCCTTGGATTTTGAATTTTGTATTTTTTTGTAAGTGTAAATGTGATATCTTATGAAATTTCTTCAATATGTTAAACATCAATTCACCAAGAATTTGCCTTTTCCAGCCCATGCATGATGACTACGACCTACGACAAGAACAAATGAACAAGTACTCCCTTCTCTCGTCACAAAAGTTCCTGAAGACTCTGCTGGAGATGTTCAATGAAAATGTGGTATGATAAATTGTCTACATGTTTTACATCACAGATTTATTAGAGGAGTTTAGACATTTTTTATTAGGTCATCTGACTGTATGGGTCAGGTTAATCAAAAGCAATTGTGTTTCTTCTGCCGTTGTGCACTGTGCAAAAACTTTCCATTCAAATAACTTTTTCTCAATAACCAAAAGGCCATGGGTTATGGTATTGGGCCTGTAGCATGATGGGTTGAAGGGCTACCATGTTTTTAAATGTGAATGGCCTTGACCCACTTTGAAGCTCACAGGAGTCAGACATGTTGAAATCTTTAAATGACTTCTTCGTAAAAACCAAAAGGCCCATTATGCTGATATTGGGCCTGTATGAAGGACTTTCAACTTTGTCACCATGAATGACCTTGACCCATTTTCAAGGTCACAGGGGCCAAATATGGTAAAATCTTTAAACAGCTTTTTCTCAAAACCAAAAGGGCAAGGGTCTACATATTGGACCTGTAGCATGCTCTTCAAAAAGCAATATGTTTGGAGAAGTGGCAATGGTGTAGTGTATAAAGAATATGATTTCAAGTTTGCAGAAAATGTCTTTATGTACAAACCAATGTCTTCTTTGTAAGCTGTAGTGTAGATGAGCTAAAAATTTAAGGCCTATGTGGCCTCTTTCATACAAAGGTCTTTACAGTCAGATGACCCTTAAGGCTGATTGGCCTCTTGTTAAATGACCTGCAGTGAATAGGGTTGTGCATTCATAGTTTGTTGTGCCCATGGGCAAGACACTTCCTCAAATGGTTTGGAAAGTATAGGCAAGGCTTCCTGTATACTTTTAAGTGAGGTATACACCAGATGCTGAAATGATCTTTGCAGTTGATAGGGAAGTAAACCCAGCAAGCAAACTGGGTTTGCAGAAATTTTGTTTTTGCATTTTTTTTAAAAAGCAAAGGGAGGTTTTTATAAGCCAAAAATTTTGCATTGTTGTCATTCTGGTACATTTCATTAAATGTAAGAGGCAATCTGTTTTTTGACCTCAATGTTGATAACTGAATATGTCGAGCTAATGAGAGAAAGAATTATGTTCACAGATTCCAACCAAATTTCTGAATGCTTCAAAATTTTTCACATTTCATTCCTGGCACTGTACCTAAAAATTAAAAAGAAATGAAAAAGGATCAAAATTACTATTCCCTTAATTAATTATTATTATTATTATTATTAATTAACCTAATTGTGAAGTGTTTAAGCTGAACAGTTTCCTGGCCATTTCATATCAATCATTGATTACATGCTTAATCAAAAATAGATAAAACACAATTAACCTATGTAATTGTATAATTTAAAAAACATGATTTTCAGAAACAAAAGTTTAAAATGAGCTAGATCAAAATAGAGTTACTTCCTTTTGTTTTTAGGTGCACAACACTGCTGCATTGGTAATATCGGCCATGTTGGATTTCCTGACCTTTGCTCTCTGTGCACCATACAGTGAGACCACTGATGGTGGCCATTTTGATATGTTACTGGAAATGATTGCTGCAAATGGCCGCATTGTCTTCAAACTGTTCCAAGTACGATTATTTAAATGTCAAATGTAGCAAATTCCAGTCCCATTTATTCTTAAATGCTATTAGCAAATTACAATTTATGTTTCTCACAGAATGATAGGGATAGAAATATTGAATTTAAATGCAATTATAATGATTGAATAAATTGAGAATTAACATTAAATACATAAATATTTATTACAATTATTATCCATAAGTAAGCATTTGCTTAGTAATAAGTCTATCCACTCTGCTGTACATAAAAACTATTATATTGTCCAGTAATAAGACCACTTCCAGTGAAGTGATGAGTTGTCTCCCCTGGACTTAATTTGGGATATATATCATTAACAAATATCCTTATTGGTTGTGTTTTTGCAGCATCCCTCCATGGCTATTGTGAAGGGATCAGGACTTGTGATGAAAGCTATTATAGAGGTAAGAAACATCGAGTCATGTTGAATTTATGTCATACGGACTTGAAACCACAGATAAATGTTTGGTACTGGTCGAGTATGATATACTATTTGAGAAATCAGAAATCTCCAACAAGTTTTGGTGTCAATGATAGTCTATCCCAAACCACATGTAGTCAAACCTTTGTTATCTCAAACTCATATTACTCGAAGACCCCATTTAGTTTTAAGTGTTCTGCCATCCAGGTCTTTTACACAAAACATTAAAACTCATTTAAAATTGATAACTGTGATACCGTGAGGTTTTCCCATGGTCCCGATGACTTTGAGGTAATGAGGTTTAACTGTATTTACATTGTATTACAGGGCTTTGTTTATAATTCTTAAACATGTCTGCCTCAGTTTAATTCTTTATTCTAAATAGTCCTGTGTGTACTTATAGATTATTGAATTTTGTGTAAACATTACATGCACATAACACCCCCAATAGTTGTTTGTTTCAAGCTCATTACTAAAGCAAGATTATATTATTGTATTTTTGTAAACATTACATATATATCATATCCACAACAGCTGTTTGTTTCAAGTATATCAAGCAAAATATTTTCAAGAGATTGAAAATATTTCATTTTTGATGCAAAATTGAAGAAAAAACAACAAAAGAGTTACCAATTAAAGATGGCATGATATTGTTAACAGGAAGGAGATGCAGAAACGGCAGCCAAGATGCAGGAGTTAGCTTTGTCAGAGGGTGCCCTCCCTAAACACCTCCACACTGCCATGTTTACACAGAGTAATGACAGCAGAATGTTAACAAACAGGTACAGGATATTCCATTGATTATCAAAGGCACTTGAGAATCCAACTTAGATTTTTCACACTCTTTAACATTATAGAATCAATGTAGGTGAAAACATCTAAAGTCACATTCTTTACATAGGATATTTTCATTGTTTGGGTTTGTTACAAACCAGCTCTAACGGCTATTCCAGTAAATCATCTGCTTGTTCCCAGGACTCTACAACAAATCACTTTTACACGGTTCATTTCCCTGTCAATTACTACCAGAAGGCAAACTATCAGTGAAATTAAATTGGTAGGTCTTCATAATAAAGGATGAACTCGAAAAACAAATCACTTCTACACAGTTCATTTCCTTGTCAAAAATACTACCAAAAGGCAAATTATCAGTAAAATTAGATTAGTGGTACTTCTAAACAAAGTATAAAGTTCTAGGGTGGAATTGATGTTTTACTGTGATAGCCTGCTGAAAAATCAGAAAAAGATTTGATAAAATAATCAGTTAATAGATTGATAATTTTGTAATTATAAATTATTTATAAAAGTTGAAAAGAAAAACAATGGGTTGGTATACATTTTTTTTATGTTAAGAGACTTAATCGATGCACAAAATGTTGCACAATAAAACTGTGCCAATATCAAAAATACAAAAATGTAATTTTGTAGATGATCTTTGATCATTCTAATACTCATGAAGCCATATTGATTCCAAATGATCTTATCGTGAAATGAGTGTGAAAAAGGTGGTTTTGACTGCAGACTGGTAGACACAGTGTCAACACCTATTATCAATAGGTGCTTTGTTTCAAACTTGTAGATAAGAAATGAGATGGAATTCAATCTTTATCAGTCATTGGCAAAAAAAAAAGAAGAAAATTACAAACACTGAGTTAAAGGTGTAATGGAGTATTCATTTCAATATAATCTAATTTCAATCTCAATTTGTTGACAGACAGCTGAGTCGACATCTGGTAGGACTTTGGGTAACAGGTCACCCGACAGCTATGGGACTGTTGCGGCGCATCCTGGTAAGAAGTTGGGTCATATTCTGAATTATGTTCAAATTAATGCTTTTATACCAATACATTTTCATAAGTAAAATTCCAGACAAATTCAAATGGAATTTTTCAGCATTACAAAAAACCCCATAATTCAGAAGCTAAATTGTAGGATAATGGTAGGTGTTTGAGGTACAGGTATCAGTAAGAGGAGATAGTAAGAACAATGAATATCAATTTTATATTTATATGTACTGTGCAAAGAGGGAGAGTTTGTCAAATATTTAAACCAGCTCTAAATGCAAGTTGATATTTTGAAAAAAGTCTTTTACACATATTTGATTGATGACAAATGTAATGTCAGTATACTATGAATGATAGTGTTATCTCCCCTTCTCTTACGTATTATGTATGACGTCACAATGTATATATAGGTCAAGAAGGTTTGGATATTTGAGAATCTTAATTCTGAAGGTTGAAATTGTTTCAAATTCTGACTTCCAGCCCAGCGGCCTGTTGCTATTTTTAGACTCTGAAGATGAAGTACCAATGTCTGAGGAAGACAGAATCAACATCAGGGACAATGTCAAAATGGCACAGGTGAGGCATATGTGGTAACATACACAGTAACCGGTTTCTCTGTGTAGTGGTCAGTTTTTTCATCTGAAAGTTTTTCTGGTCCCCCTGCATTCAACCCTGTGACTGTATTGTGTTGAAAGACCATTGATAAATACCACAAATTAAATTATCAGCTTGTTGATCTAATGATCTAAGGCCAGAATTGTTTGTTTAGGAAATACAAAAGAAAAACAAGAAGAATCCACAGCTGCTGATGCTGGAAATGAAGATCGATGGTTTCCTTCAGCATTGGCGTTCAAGGATTGGCTTGGAAAAAACAAAACAGGTATTTTATCACAGAGCTCTCAATTTTTTTTTATAGTATCTTTGTTCATTAGAGAAAAGACAAATATTTTGTCATATCTCTGCCTGTATCAAATTTTTGAAAATGTCAATTCACTATCGAGGTTTCTCATCACTTGAGTCAATTTTTAGTTTAAACAAGACGATGTTCTGATGATTTCGTCTTTGTATCTGTCAATAATGACTAGATTTTGTTCAAGACATTGCATCAACTCCTGTTCTCATTTAATTTATGTTAAAATGTTAGCAACGAAATGAAAAAGTCATTTACATGTGTGCTTAGTATGTGCATCATTTTGTGGTTATTGAAAGCCTATTGTTGGTATAATGTTTGAAATTTCATTAATTCCAAATAATTTTATGTTGCAGCAAAATGATTTGAAGCCAGTGACCTTGAGAAAGCGTCGTCAACGCATTAAGAGCGAGGCGAACTGGGCGTTGTTTTATTATGGCTTCAACAAAGACCACGCTAAACCAAACCTCATCTGGAACTACAAGGTAAAGAAGTACCTATTGACTGTAATGGTGTCAGTGAAGTCCCACAGGCAGTAATCCTGGTCTGAAAAATTTTAATGAAAAATGTCTTAAATGTTTAGATTTTTCTAGTAAAATGAAGAAAACTATTTTCTGAAAATACAGAGAGAAAGTCTCTTGATGTTTGAGGAATCAACTTGCTGATGGAGAGGAATTTCTTTAATCTTGCAAGTTATTTTTCTATGTTTTTTTCATGTCCAGTTTTCAGCTTGGAGAAGAAATTCAAAAGTTTCCCTGTTCTTAACCTTAACTTTGTCTTTTTTTTTTATCTACATACCAAATCATGAAACTTATGTAAAACCTACCATTCAGCACTTACACAGAATTTCTTTGCTTGATCTAGACACGAGAAGAACTGAGAGAAGCCCTAGAAAACGAGATTCGTGCTTTCACAGTCGATAAGGAGCTTGGTACTAACTGTATCATTGGATGGAACCATCAAGAGTTTGAAGTATCTTATATCTGTCTGTCAGATGAAATCAAGATAGGTACAGTACATCAAAATGTGAAAGACAATACTTTTAGCTGGAAAATTATTTACACCAATCTTGTTTTGTAGATTTTCATGACAGTTTGCCATTGTACAAACTTTCTTTAAAAGATTGAGTCAGATTATACAGAGATTCACTAAGTGAATTGATGGTATGACTGTCAACAAAAAATAAAGATTTTTTTGGCTAATTAAACATTTGGAGTCAATCAAGGTCAACACCATATTTATCCTGCAATATACACAGGGGATTAGAACATTACCTCTCACTCAAACTAGGGGACAAGGTAATTTCAGGACAATAAGCCAGGGGGCCTGAACATTGCCTCTGACTCCTAGTAGGGGACAGGGTGATTACAGGACAATAAGCCAGGGGCCTGAACATTGCCTCTAACTCCTAGTAGGGGACAGGATGATTACAGGACAATAAGCCAAGGGCCTGAACATTGCCTCTAACTCCTAGTAGGGGACAGAGTGATTACAGGAGAATAAGCCAGGGGTCTGAACATTGCCTCTGACTCCTAGTAGGGGACAGGGTGATTACAGGAGAATAAGCCAGGGGCCTGAACATTGCCTCTGACTCCTAGTAGGGGACAGAGTGATTACAGGAGAATAAGCCAGGGGCCTGAACATTGCCTCTGACTCCTAGTAGGGGACAGAGTGATTACAGGACAATAAGCCAGGGGCCTGAACATTGCCTCTGACTCCTAGTAGGGGACAGAGTGATTACAGGAGAATAAGCCAGGGGCCTGAACATTGCCTCTGACTCCTAGTAGGGGACAGGGTGATTACAGGAGAATAAGCCTGGGGCCTGAACATTGCCTCTGACTCCTAGTAGGGGACAGGGTGATTACAGGACAATAAGCCAGGGGCCTGAACATTGCCTCTAACTCCTAGTAGAGGACAGGGTGATTACTGGACAATAAGCCCGGGGGCCTGAACATTGCCTCTGACTCCTAGTAGGGGACAGGGTGATTACAGGAGAATAAGCTAGGGGCCTGAACATTGCCTCTAACTCCTAGTAGGGGACAGAGTGATTACAGGAGAATAAGCCAGGGGCCTGAACATTGCCTCTGACTCAAAATAGGGGATGGGATTATCAAAATCAAGAGAAAAATTTCTTACAGGAGAAAATCCTCCAACAACCAACGTCCACTAAGGCCATGTGTATGTTGAAGTTCATCTATTAGATTCTGGAATATCTTGAGTAGATGCCCAGCTCCTGAAGCCTGGTTTTCAATCACTATACTCTTCTTTTCTCTACTGTGCTGATAACTGGTCATAAATATTGTCTTTAAAGTGAAGATTAAAGGAACTAATCTTTTATGTCCACTGAGTTTTGTTAATCACGATGTGTTGTATTGATGATACAGATAATTGTGTTTCGGTCTGAAGTTAGCGGTCAGTTTATAATGTTGTTTGTGTATCAGGTGACTACTATCTGCGACTTCTATTGGAGGAGGGAGAAGAGGAGACTGAGGAAACTAGTGCCATCAAAAAATCGTAAGTAATGACTAAAAAAAAAAGAAGTAAAAATTAAAAACACTCTTTCTCTTCCTCTCTCAAGGAGGGGAAGAGAGTTGCTGAAATTTTCTCTTTTTCTATCTGTCTCAAGGGAGGAAAAGAGCTGCTTATTTAAGATGAGCATATAATTGATTTGATTTTATTCCAGATATGAGTTCTTCAATGATCTCTACCACCGTTTCCTGTTAACACCAAAGACAGCCATGAAATGTATGTGTTTACAGGCCATGACAATCGTCTATAACAAATGTCATGAAGAAATTGGTGCTTTCAACGACACACGCTACATCGTCGGCATGCTTGAACGGGTACTTTTTCATTACACAATGTGTCTAGTTTAAAGATTTCAGGAGAAAATTATTTTAAGTTAGATGGAAAAACTTAGATACTGTAAAATATTATGATAGATGACAAATCAACTCTCACTAGTAAAGACAGAAAGATCAGGCTACGTAGAACCTGTCATTTAACACGTCACTATAGTGACTTAGGAATGTGAATGATTGGCTTGAATCATTAAGCGCTAATTTACACACATGAATGCAGTCTTGTTGTATTTATTTATGAATTAGTTGAACAGTAGGTAACCTATGCTCTGTTTCTCCATTCAGTGCACAGATAAGTTGGAAAGAGATCGTCTGATTCTGTTCCTCAACAAACTCATCTTACACCCAGTAAGTAAGAAAAATAAAATCTTGTTTACAATGGTTAAAACATCTTAAAGAAATATACAAATAGAAAACTTGTAGTTAATTATAATTACACTTTTATTTTATGTCCTGTTGATTCTAGTCTTTACTAGCATATCCTCATCACATGGTGGACTATTCAAATAATCCTACATTCATGGTCCGTCTGTAAACAATTTTTTTTTTTTGCCTATTTTCTTTTGAAGAGCTGGACGAGTCTTTCTTAAATTCATATGTAGGTTTCCATTGGTCCCTAGTTGAGAATGATAAGATTAACAAAATAGCTGATAGGTCTCTATGTAGGATTTTGGCTTTGAAAGTTTTTTAACACTATTATGTTAGAAATACTTCACAAATTTTAAATATAGGTTTTCCTTGATCCCTAGTTGTGCCAGCTTGATTTTAGGACTAATCAGGAAAAGAGAATGGCTGACAGGCAGCCATCTTAGATTTGATAAAAATTTTTCTTTTGAGTAAAATAAGTGTTTAATATACATGTAATTCTGGAAATTGAATGGCAATTCCCTCCTCCCCATGAACTGGATATGAAATATACATCCACTGTGAAACATGCACAATGAATAGTAAAATTTTGTTTAAATGAATAATTTTCTTTGTAATTATAGCGTAATGTGAAAGACATCCTGGATGCTAATGGTGTGAAGATCATGGTTGACCTGCTGACTATAGCCCATTTACATACAACACGGGCCACCGTCCCCTTACAAGTAGGTCACTGTAACCTAGTTTCATTTTCAATATGTAATGATATACACTTCCATTTAGTTGATTTAGTCTTGCTTTGAACCAATAAGGTGTGACTGTTTTAATTGATGATCACACTATTGTATTGTGTTTTTCATTGAGTTTAACTTAGTTGTTTATGAGTTTGTGATTTCTATAACAGCTGGTTATGAGTTTGTGAGTGCCATGACAGCTGTTTATGAGTTTTTTGAGTTGTATAACATCTGATAATGAGATTGTGATTTATATAACAGCTGATAATGAGTTTGTGATTTATATAACAGCTGATAATGAGTTTGTGATTTATATAACAGCTGATAATGAGTTTGTGAGTTCTGTTGTTGGGTTCTTTAGTTCCTGATAATGGGTTTTGTTTATTGTTTGGATTTGTAGACAAATGTGATAGAAGCCTCGCCTGATATGAATCGTGAAAGTGAAAAAGAGTGGTACTATGGTAACAAGGACAAGGAAAGGCTTGGACCCTACAGCTTTGAGGAGGTAAGTTTGCACAATCAGTACAAGAGAATATTTAAAAATCATTCTAACTGGGAACATCACGAAACCATTCCGACTGGGAACATCAAAACAATTCTGATTGAAAACATCTGGAAACCATTCTGATTGGGAACATCTCAAAACTGTTTTGACTTGGAACATCTCAAAACCATTCTGACTGGGAACATCTCAAGATCCATTCTGATTGGGAACTTCTCAAATTTTAAGCTTTTGAACTTGCAATTTTCTTATTTAAAGATGGACATGTTTTATTTTGCTTGAAATTATTTCTGTTTTGTAGATGAAATCATTATATGAAGAAGGTACAGTCCATGCAAAAACACGATGTTGGGCCCAAGGTATGGATGGATGGCGCCCTCTACAATCTGTTCCACAACTCAAATGGACTCTACTAGCCACTGGTCAAGCAGTGATGAATGAGAGTGACCTGGCCTGTCTCATACTCAATATGTTCATCAAGATGAGCGATTATTACCCTAGTCGGTGAGTAAACCCTCATTAACACTTTATGATGACGTAATTTTTATTCATTTCTTTTCCATGCATTTTTAAATCCTCTGAAAGATGTCAAATTTGAGGCACATTGCTGTGGCAGGTTTTGTTGTCTGAACAAGTTATGTAATGTCTTTTAACATATCAAACAGATCTTTTGAAAAATGCAAGTTAAGAATAAGTCATGATTAAGATATATTTTGATGTTTTCAGGGACCCTGAAGGTGCAATAGTACGACCACTGCCAAAAATCAAACGTATTCTATCAGATGCTGTCTGCCTCCCTCACATAGTCCAGGTACAGCTATTTCACAGATTTTGTGTGGAACATAAATTTATCCAAATGTGATATCCAAATCTTAAAATATAGAGTGGAAAAAATATTTTGAAGATATGCTATTTATCATGTGAGGTCTTGTCAGTGTGTCGGAGGAAAATAATAGTTAACAAAAGATGTAAATGTGGAAAAGGAAATGCTCTCTGATTTAACAATACTTCCTTTTGTCTGCAGTTGCTGTTGACCTTTGACCCTATCCTGGTAGAGAAGGTCGCGGTGCTACTGTACAGCATCATGCAGGACAACCCCAACATATCACGGCTCTACCTTACTGGTGTCTTCTTCTTCATTCTCATGTACACTGGCTCCAATGTCCTTCCAATAGCACGATTCATCAAATACACCCACCTCACACAGGCCTTCCGCTCCGACGAGGTAAGTATAGGTGATGTGCTCCAAGGTATTACAAGGTAGACATAATGCTCCAACAAGGTGTAACAGTGTAGACATATCTCTCCAACGAAGTATTACAGTGTAGACATATCTCTCCAACAAAGTATTACAGTGTAGACATATCTCTCCAACAAAGTATTACAGTGTAGACATAACTCTCCAACAAGGCATTACAGTGTAGACATATCTCTCCAACAAAGTATTACAGTGTAGACATAACTCTCCAACAAAGTATTACAGTGTAGACATAACTCTCCAACAAGGCATTATAGTGTAGACATATCTCTCCAACGAAGTATTACAGTGTAGACATATCTCTCCAACAAAGTATTACAGTGTAGACATATCTCTCCAACAAAGTATTACAGTGTAGATGAAATATATGCTCTCATGAGGTTAGTAAGTGTAGGTGTTATGCTATGACGAGTTGAGTAAGTGAGTAAGTGATGGTCTATAAAGAGTTGTGTAAGTGTAGGTGATATGCTTTTAACAAAGGGATAGGACCCTACTAAGACAAGAGAAGTAAAGACTTACCTTCGTCTTTGATTCTTAGATATGTGTCAAACTGTCTGATTCCCTGACATATCTTGTGAAGAAGAAAACAGTGGTTAGTCTGGTTTTAAAATTGTAGTACAGATAAGGAGAGTATGTATTACGTATGAATTTCTTTTTTTTGGTCAGGTAATCACTAGAAAAATTATAGAGTCTAATGCCTGTTTATTCTCAAGTGTGATTTCTCTTGTATTTAGTTCTCCAGTTCGGATATTATGATGCGGAGTGTGTTAGGTCACATACTGCCAGAAGCAATGGTATGCTACCTCGAAAATTATTCTCCAGAAAAATTTGCCAAAATCTTCCTAGGTGAATTTGACACCCCTGAGGCCATATGGAACAGTGAAATGAGGTATGGAGTTAATGTCAAACAACAAATCTACCCTCCTCAAATCTAATGTTTTATATATGCATCAAAAGATAAATAGATGATTTTCAAAATTTTTCACAGATTAGAAATTTCATTTTTAAACTTTGATTTTATTAAATGGATTTTGAAATCAGTATTAATTTTTTATTACAAAAGTTGGAAAAGGAAAATAAATCTAAGATTATTTCATCTAGCCTGCTTTATAATGGAAAATTGGATAAAACTGACGTATGTGTCATTTTATTGATTTTTAATTTTCAGACGACTGATGATTGAAAAGATAGCCTCCCACTTGGCGGACTTCTCACCTCGTCTCCAGAGTAACACTCGGTCACTGTATCAGTACTGCCCAATACCTCTAGTCAGCTACCCACAGTTAGAAAATGAGCTCTTCTGCAATATCTACTATCTCAAACACCTATGTGATACAGCACGCTTTCCAGACTGGCCAATCAAAGACCCTGTAAGTTTAATAGTATAAACTTAACATAACCTCCCAACCTCCTAACTTCATTGTTGGGGTATACTGGAATATATGATTGTCTTTCCATCCTTCTGTAGATGCCTTGATGCACGAAGCTACTCCTCTTAAACTGCTGAATTGATTTCAACAATACTTGCTTTCTATAATCCTGATTCATCGTAGATATGCATAATCTATATCAGGGTTAAGTTACCTCCCCTTTTTGGAAAGTTATGACATTTAGAAATGGGCAAGGTTGAGGGGTTGTGGGGTGGGTATGCATTGTCCCTTGGACAACAGTTCTAGATTAGACTGACTTGTCAAATTTGAGATCCTTCATTGACTGCTGTTTCTAAATATTCAAGGTATTGTTGTATGGCATTGCCACGGAGTAATCTTACCAAAGCCTGTTGTGTAGTACCAGCTCATGGACTGCCAGTGGTGTAGAAATATTGCAAATAATGCAGACAAATTGATGTTGCCTTTCTCTATAACAAGACATATATCAAACATAATATATATAAAGTATTGAGCTGCTTTTACTCGGCATTCAAAGGCAATAGGAACCTTTGTACTACAAAACCTTTCTAATCTGACAATCAAATATTCTGACATTTTTATTTATCCAGTATAACCTACCATCCTGTATCTAATGGATGTAAGAAATACAATACAAGTATTTTGTCACAGTTACACGTTTTACTAAAAATGTATGATTCTTGGGGTTTTTTTCTGTGACGACTTGCACTTTTTAAATTTTTTTTTCCAGCTTAAGTTTGACAGTGTTGTTGATTTTTGTTCTGTTCAACTTGATGTGGAATGACCTTGACCTTTTGTGTTTCAGGTGAAGCTGCTGAAAGACATTTTGGAGGCCTGGAAGAAGGAAGTAGAGAAGAAACCTCCCAGCATGTCACTAGATGAGGCATATGCTGTACTTAACCTCAAGAAAGGTGTAGGCGGGTAAGGGAGTCCAACATCACTGTATGTTTACATGGGCGGGTAGGGGAATATTTTCTTACATCACATTATGTTTATTTGGACAGGTAGGGAAATATTTTCCAATCTAAGTCTTTATTTATGTGAAGAGGAAACTAATTTCTTTCGCTATCCTTTGTTTAAGTGACACGGTTGAGGACTGTTCACATGTGCAGGTAGGGGGCTGATTACCCACATGACTCTGTATTTATGTGGGTAGGTAGGGAACTATTTTACTAAATCACAATATGTTTGTGTGGATGGGAAGTGGGCTACATCACTCTTTATATGTACAAGGAGGTGACTGTAATGAAGGGCTCAAAATTAACATCAAAGTATTTAAAGCTGATATTTTGTCAAACATTATGAAAAGCAGTAAGACTGCATATAAAATGTTGATAAATATTATAAATGTTCAGTAATTCTTTCATTCAAAAAGCATGATATTGTTATTCATTTCAGACATGAAGAGTCCACAATCAGGAAAGCATACTTCAAACTAGCCCAGAAATACCATCCTGACAAAAACCCAGAAGGACGGGTGAGTTAGGGTCTTTTTTGTTATTTTATCTGGTATCTGGTATATCAAGAATAGATGAAAACTAATAAGTTGTTCCATATGAAGACTGAAGATTATTTTAAGTATACAGATATCACTTATATATTTTCTCTGGTTCATGTTTCAATTTCTAATCTAGGAAATGTTCGAACAAGTGAACAAAGCGTATGAGTTCCTGTGCAGCAAGTCAAGACTGAAGGATGGCCCTGATCCCCAGAATATTGTTTTAATACTCCAGGCACAGTCCATTCTCTTTAGGAGGTATAAGGATGGTAAGTGACAGGTTAGAAGATACCATTATGTTGACAACAAAGGTTTTATATTCTTAAAAAGGAATACATTGATTAGACTATTCTGTAAATAAATACAGTGGACCCTCGATAATCATGACACATTTATTCCTGGCGTAGGAATATAAGTGAAGTCCATGGTAAAGTTAACCACGGTTCATGGTTACCATCATTATGGTGAAATGAAATAATCCCTCCCCCACTCCCTCAATGGTATAGTGGAGCAGCTTTTTGGTTTTTAATTGATGTTTCCCCCCCCCCCATGATAAAATGAAGCATTTGACTTTTTTCTTACTTATTAACTTTTTTCATCATTTTATTTCTCTAAACACCAATTTCCCCACCCAGACATATTTTTTGTTATGTGTGTATTTAGTTGAGAAATTTACAATAAAAAGTTCAAAGTTAATGTGCTGACTGGAAGAAACCTTTCAGTTTCAATGAAGAATATTAAATTTAGAAAGTGAATAATGTGATTCTTTGTTAGATCTGGAACCTTACAAGTATGCTGGATATCCGATGCTGATAAAAACCATTCGCATGGAAACAAGCGATGACTCCCTCTTCTCTAAGTCTGCCCCACTGTTGTCAGCAGCAACTGAGCTAGCATATCACACAGTTAAATGTTCAGCTCTCAACGCTGAGGAGCTTCGCAGAGAACACGGTATACAGGTATGTAATGCATTATTAGAATAGAGTGTACAAACCATTAAGAATAAAGAATATGTACAGGTACAAATAGTAAGTAGATGGAGAATACAGGTAAACAAAAGTTATTGAATAATAAACTTCAAGTACACTAAATGCTATTCTGTAGATAAATACAGTGGACCCTCATAACAAAGAATAGAATAAATAAAACAGGAGAGAACATAGGTTGTCTGCAGTTGTTGGAATTTCCTCTTCTTATACTTACAGTATGAACTGTTGGGCTAGTTTCCCTTTTCTCTTTATCATACACCTAGATTTCTTTGCCTTGAATTTCACTCTAGCCCATACAACAACCTCCTCCAATGCAGCCCGATCTTGCTTGGACACGGGTGTTAGTAGTCACTGTCTAAACATTTCTGAAAAGGAGGTATAAGGTAGCATACAACCTTAACTCAACTTTCTTTTAACAGGTGCTACAGGAGGCGTTTGCCAGATGTGTCAATGTTCTTAGTCTGTCCAGTAAACCAGAGGAGCTGGCTGTTCAAGTAAGTAATGGATATGTCAACAAGTGTCTTTATTTTTAGAAAAGATGGCATATGGAAGCTTTCTTTCAGAATATGGTAACCTCAGATTTTGGCTATAGTTAGTTACCAATAAGTTATTATGTGTATGACAAGTTTTATGCTCCTTCTAACAAATTTGGAGTAAGTTCTTAACTCTTCTCTCTGTCCATTCAATGCACACAATTGCATTACATTTCTTTGTGAGTGAGTGCACAAACTTAATTCTTAAACTCAAATAAACATGGACTTATCACTCAGTTTGTAATAAAATCATGTGTTGTTATCCCAATCATATTTACATATGATACATGCATGCTGTATTTCACTGTAAATAAGCACTCCTCTCCCCCCTTGTAAGATCATCAATGAGAAATTGAAAGGAGGTTTATATACAAACAGTCCCCAGCTTATTATTGTCTGCTATCTGTGTCTTCCTTTAGTTTGTCCTTGAATGAAAATAAGTACTATAGTGGTATTGTAATACTTGTAGGTATGTATTCATGTTGTCAAGTGCTACGCAGTAGCATCACAATTTGAAGGATGTCGGGAGAAAATCCAGGAGATTCCAGCCATTATCAAAGATATCTGTAGAATACTTTATTTTAAGGTAAGACCTATGTTAACAGAGCTAACCAAAAGATTGTTGGCTATTCCTAAGCCTATTATATTAAAATTTGACCTTTTTATATCTTTAAAACATTGCACAAACAAAGCAATTATCATAATTCAAGAATTCGTTGAAGATTATGTTTTTTGTTTTGAGTCGGTTCCAATGAGATCAAACTGTTTTGATGTTACCCTACTTTTAGAAAGTCAGTTCAGAGGTTTTCCTACATTGTTGATATTTTCTAGTTGCATCAAATCTGTTCAGTGCTTTGAAGAGTTTTCTAAATGTATATATTGAGTGTGTTTTTTTTTTGTGTGTATAGAACCTTCCTCAGCTGTGTTCTGTGATAGCACAGTGTATCAGTGCCTTTGCTGTGGACTTCTGGCTCCAAACCAACCTGTTTCAGTCAGGCATCTTATGGCATCTCCTATTGTACCTGTTCAATTATGATTACACTCTGGAGGAGGGAGGTGTAGAGAAGAGTGATGAATCCAATCAACAGGTAAGTTCTAGGGTATCTATTTCAGATTGGTAATATATATTAAATAGATATTATCTCTCAAATTGATAGAAAATCATGAGTGATGTTTCAATGTCTACACTGTCATCGTCATCAGACAAATGGCCATTTGCAGCGCATTGACACCGAGATACACAGTGTATGAGTGTATAAAATCAGAAGTCTTTTTGGATGTGGTAGTAGAGTTCCGATAGTAGTAAAAAGTCGAAAATCGCTCGACTACAACCAAAAATCAAGCGCTCAGCTAAGTCTTTGTAAGCTCGATTAATCGAGAAAAAAAATGGTTAACAACCTCCCGGTCCAGGACGGGGACGTACCAAACCAACATAGTGTATGGGGCCTAGTGTATCAGTACTAGAAGCAACCAGTATGTGGCATACGTTTTGTAGTTTTCATTCAGTATTTATAGTAAAAAAAACTGACGTGAATCTACACTAGTAAATTAAAATTTGGATTTCATTTGTTTTTAGAAAAGGAAAGTATATTCATAAATCAAGAAAACTTTAGATTTTAATTTCTAAACATAAGTATGAAAATATGGCGTAAGAGCATGTTGTCAAAATGAGCTGTACCAAAAGTAGTGAGGATAGATTCTATTCCGATTGATTGATTAATCGTTCATAGTACTCCTTCCGATAATCGATTGTAAATTTCCGTTCCGATTCCCATCACTAGGATGTGGTATAATTTTATGAACCCCAAGATGGAAAAAATGTGATGAGATAGTAAAACTTTAGTAACCAGACCAACTTTTAGGAGATAAAGTATTATTACCACGTTATATACATACAAAGGTCACCAATTTTACTTTTTTCATTACTTTATCTTTTGCTGTCATTCTTCAAACTAAATATTTTGTCACCAACTACTCTGGCCTTACATTTGATTTCTTCCTGTTTAATTGGTCTGAATAATTTACACAATCAAAAGAATCAATATGCTATACAAATATTTTCCATTGCTCTGAAATCAATTGTTGATATCCAACTCATCATGAATGACTTACCGATTAACAGGAGGTAGCTAACCAGCTTGCCCGTCTCTGTATTCGAGCTTGTTCTCGTCTCGGCGGATACCTGCCCGAGAGTACAGATCTCTCAACGCCAGAAAACGTCCCTGTCAAGAAATCACTATCTGCTCTGCTGACGCCATTTTTGGCACGCAAACTGGCCAATGAAAATCCGTCAGAGGTAAGTTTTCATTCAGTCTAACCTGTTTCTGTATTTACATTTATTTGCTCTGGTAAAGGAAACACAGAGATATTCAGTTCATACTTTTGTAAAGATTTATCATTGTCTTACAATATTTCATCCCATGTAAGTTAGGCAATAAAATAAGTGTCTGATTTGCTATGATAAAGAGAAAAAATCTACCTTTGTTTTCAGTGGTCAGTTATATAACTTTCAAATTTTTTATAAGTATTAGAAATTTAATCAATGGTCTTACTCCCTTAATTTACATGAATTATGAAATATTGAGGATTTGAGATTTAATTTCATATCTAGATGTTTTTTTATTTTGTAAAGCAAAGTACAAAACACAATTTTGACTGAAAAATTAAAAAAAAAAAAAAAGGATTTTGAAATATGCAGGTAAATAATACATTGATTTGAATGATGGATACATTGCACAGTGTGACTTAGGTACATGCTGGTTGGACAGACAAGTCAACACACAATAAAATTATAACATTATGGTGATTTTTCAGTTGTTGAAAATCCTGAACAGTAACACAGAGAATCCATATCTGATTTGGGACAATGCTACACGAGCTCAGCTGAACGAATACCTGACTGACCAGCAACAGAGAATTGTCAGAACAGTATGTACTGTGCTATTTACATTCTAATCACAACAGTAATGAAATTTTTTTTTTTTTTTTATTATTTCTACACAAATCTTCCTGAAAGATCAAATCGTTAAAGGTAACACTATTCAGGTCTCATTCGTAATTGAAAAATATTTGAAGTGGAAACTCCAGTCTTTTAATAGTTTGGAAAAAATGTTTGGGGAATACTTCGAGTGAGTTGTCAGCAAATAAAGAATGATTAATACATATATTTAGTTAATAGAGTGATACATTTGAGGTCAATATATATATTTAGTTAATAGAGTGATATGTTTGAGGTCAATATATATATTTAGTTAACAGAGTGATACGTTTGAGGTCAATATATATATTTAGTTAACAGAGTGACACGTTTGAGGTCAATATATATATTTAGTTAATAGAGTGACACGTTTGAGGTCAATATATATATTTAGTTAACAGAGTGACACGTTTGAGGTCAATATATATATTTAGTTAATAGAGTGACACGTTTGAGGTCAATATATATATTTAGTTAATAGAGTGACACATTTGAGGTCAGTATATATATATTTAGTTAATAGAGTGACACGTTTGAGGTTTTTATTTTACAGGGAGAAATTGATCCAGATTATGGATCTACTTTCGTTTTCGATATCCATGCCAAAGAATTAATTGTCGGAGAAATATTTGTGCGAATCTACAATGAGCAGCCAACCTTCCAGTTAGATGTAAGTTAGATAACTGTTCTTTACCATCGCTGTGACTTTCATCTGATGGTATAAAGTGTGTTAAACATTGGAATCCTATGGAGAGTTAATTAACACTGTCAGAGAAATTTTGAGATTCATTTGTGTGTAATTTTTCCCCCTATTACAATATAGGTATTAAATCTCAATGCATTCTTTCTGTTTTTGTCATTCTGACTATGTTAAAGAAGAAAAAAAAAATCTGTAAAGAAATTTGATTTTCTAAAAAAAAAACCAAGTGAACTTATTAAGTTTGAATGTAAGTAAAACTTTGCCCTGAAAATATGATTATTTCATTATCAAACTTTTGTTGTTGGTTTCAGAATCCAAAAGGGTTTACGATCGACCTTTTAGACTTTTTAGGATCCCAAGCACAGGTAAATAAAAAAATTGTAATGTTTTATTTCTTAATGTTAACATAATGTTTCTTACAATTACTGTGTTTATCAATACATACAATTACTGTATTTATCTTTATGTACAATAAATGTATTTATCTATACATACAATAACAATTTTTATCCATACATATAATTAATGTATTTATGTATATATATAATTAATGTATTTATATATATATATAATTAATGTATTGAATCTGTTGCAGTACTTACATTCCCTCATGATGCTCCAACAACAGAGCCAAAACTCTAGTCAGAACAAACAGAATGATCGCCTGTCACATGTAGAGATGGCATTAGAAGGTCTTCGTAACGTCATCAAAAATAATCCAGGTAGGTCATCAAAAATAATGTAGGTAGGTCATCAGAAATTATTTAGGTAGGTCATCAAAAATTATCTAGGTAGGTCATCAAAAATTATCTAGGTAAGACATTAAAAATAATCCAGGTGGGTCATCAAAAATTATCCAGGTAAGACATTAAAAATTTGAGTTTGTCATTACAAAAGTTAAGGTAGGCCTATAGTATGAAAAAGTTCATCTAGGTTAAAAAAACCTTTAAGGTTTGACATCCGGAATACTAAAGGAATGGTAAAAAAAAGTGATCAATGATTGTCATTGAAAGTTAATATTTGTCATAAAAAATACTTAAGGCATGATATTAAAAAATAATCCAAGTACCATGTCAAAAGTCTCTTGGTATATGTTTTAAATAAGTATTGTTGATTTCTCTTTCTTTTATGACAAATGATTCAGGTATCTGGAGGAAAGCCACATTGTTCTCAGACAATATGTTCTGTTATGCTATTATATGTAATATTTGGTTCTCTTGTTTGTACAGGTGTAGAAATCCAGTGTATAGGACATTTTAAACTCCTCTTTTGTCTCCTAAGACTTGATGATTGTGCCAAACTTCAACAGTTTGCTCTCGAGGTAAGTAAGAATAATAACTATTGGGTCATTAGTATGAAAATGAGGTACCTTTATGTTAGATAGTAACTTATCTTCTCTCCTGATGAAAACGAGGTATCGATTTTGTTAAATATAGGGTATCAAAGTTTAAACTGGGCCCTGATTTTACATATCAAAATCTTTTCTCCTGATGATAACTAGGTATAAGATGGATCTTGATAAACAGAAGTGCAGTGTACAAGAACCATAATTTTTTTTTGCATAATTTAGGAGTTATTGAAACTTTGTATATACTTTTGTCATATGAAGAGGATGTACGGTTTACAAAATTCAGGGTCTGCAACTTCTTAATTACAGAATTATTGACATTTGATGAAATTTTGTGTCCAATAAAGTCATTTTGGGGGAGCATTCATCAGTTTCTCTGATACTCATTTTTTCGTTGATTTAATGCAATGTGGAACAAATATTTTTCATAGGTTGTCAGCTGTGTGACTTCGAACCAAGAATGTGTCAATGATATCGCTGCCTCAGAAGTACTGTCCTATCTACTGCTGGCTATCCAGAGTCTACCCACATGTAAGTCTCCTGTGTTTGGTTGTTGTGACAGCTCTGGTCCAGGGTCGGAGTAGTTGTAAGGTCAAATGTCATCTGGTATGTCAAATAGCGTGTATTACATTGTTGAAATGAATGTCACAAGGGTTATGACTGCCTATTAATGTCACATTTACCTGATAAGGGAAGAAAGGAAGAGGGAGAGATGATAAATGTTTATGGGTGTCCATCTTTGTGGATGAAATACTAGATATTTATAAAGCTTAAGGTGAATCTTAGATCACATAGCTAGGGTAAATGTTAGACATTTTTTGTTTATCATGATAGGTCGACTACTGACACTGGAAAGTCTGTTTGCTCTAATGTCCAGTACAAAGATCGTTAAAGAAGCTCTAGGCAAGGGTAAGTATTAAATATGTGAGATTTAATAAATCACTTCCAGCAATGGTTCAACGTATGAAATGTTTGCTGCTATGATAACTCCTCTGTCAAACAAATGTAATTTGTTAAGAACTTATTAAAACAGATATCATTACTCAGTACTTCTCTTTGATTGAAGAAAAAAAAATCACATTTTTAACAACATGTGCCACTCACATCTCTCACACACCATATAATCAGCAAAGTTGATGATAGCGATGAAATAACACTAGTATGCCTGTTATAATGATTTTATCAGTAAAACTTCAGTTGCTTGAAGATTTCTTGTTATATATTTTCTACTGACGTTGACTTAATTTTTTATGTCTGAAATATATTTAAACCAAAGTTCAAGTCATGTTTACATATGTGTGTATATTCCATTATATCACAAAGCAACTTAGTAAAACAAATGAATATATTTTGGAATATGTTTAGCATAGAACTCTTTCGAATGAAAATGCGTAAATGAAAGCTGTATCATATATCCTTAAAATCCTTGAATAAAATTTGATAAAAATGATATGACTTACAGGTATACCAGTATACCTATTGGACCTGTTCTGTAATGCCACCAACCCAAACGTGCGAGAAAAGACCGCAGAGTTGATCGCTAAAATGCTGTCAGACAAATTAGTAGGACCAAAACTTCGGATCACCCTCGCCAAGTTCCTCCCTCCAATATTCATGGATGCCATGCGAGATTCACCAGAAGCAAGTGTGCATATGTTTGAAGGTAAACTTGTAAGACTCGTCATCTAATGTGGTCATGAAATTACTGTATTTTTACTCTGCGGCTGTTTGATGTGGGGCATATAGATTCTCAAATTTTTACCTCATTGTGTACCAACTAACTCCAAGTCATTACTCTTAGTCACTTCGTTTCTGTAGGGTTTTTTAGCCCACCATCTATTCAAATAGATGGTGGGTTATTCAAATCGCCCTGCGTCCGTGGTCCATCGTCCGTCCGTCCATAAACAATTCTTGTTACCGCTATTTCTGGAAAAGTACTGGATGGATCTTTCTCAAATTTCATATGCAGGTTCCCCTTGGTCCCTAGTTGTGCACTGTACCTTTTTTGGACTGATTCGAATACAAGATGGCTGACAGGTGGCCATCTTGGATTTTGGATGTAAAATATTGTTACATTTCTTGGAAAGTACTGGATGGATCTTTCCAAATTTCATATGCAGGTTCCCCTTGGTCCCTAGTTGTGCATTGTACCTTTTTTGGACTGATTTGAAATCAAGGTGGCCCACAGGCAGCCATCTTGGATGTCGACAGTAATACAGCACAAGCATATTGTCCATTATCCACCTGTAACTGACTGCTATCTAATAATACTTTGGGATCTTTTTCAAATGATATTTGCTAATAGGTGCTTAATAAAAATATCATGTGCCATCATTGAGTACATTCAATGAAGACCAGTTCATGAACATTTACAACACCTGTAACACACAAAAAAAAATAAACAAATCATCAAGAACTTACAACAGATCCTCAAATGGTGGGCGCCAAGATCCCTCTGGGATCTCTTGTTTTTTTTTTTACAGCAATACATTGGATGACTTCGCATTTTTGGGTTCTCAGGAAAAAATTACTTAGTAACTCTATACAGAAATTTGCAGACATTGATACTAACTTGAAGTTAGCAGGGCAATTAATGTCTTATGTATACTGTTTTGTTTGATCTTTTCCCTGAGAACTATAGTTATACACATATACATGACATTGATGGTAGGTTTAAAGTAATAAGACTGTGATCTGCCAGTAAGCCTGTGGCTTGTGATAAACCAACCCACATCTGAAGTTTGTAATTGTCTAATAATAATCTCATCTCCTTCTTTGAGTTTGAGACAATATCAGCCCCGCCCCTTTGAAACTTACAGGATACATATTATTTATTACGTCATTGTGTTAATAATTCTGATCCTTTTTTCTAGGTACACATGAGAATCCAGAGTTAATTTGGAATGATGATTCACGAGAGAAAGTGTCAGATGTAGTCCGGAAACTGAAGGACAGGTAATTTGTTACAATAAATGTTTTCTAGTAGAGAAATTTGTTCTGAAAGGTTTATTTAACTTTTACAACTTGGCATCATGAGTGATTTGACTAGTTTGTTGACAAGATAATATATAAGTGCTATTTGGAGATGTGTGGTCCATACAAAGTTTCCAAGCAAAAGTTTTTTTTTTAAAGAAACTGTCAAGAAATATTCAGTTATGATCAGGTTTGAGCAGTCCATTTGAAAATTGCGGTCTGTTTTGTTTACTAGCCATTACAAGGCACAGCGGGACAACCCTGACACCAGATGGAGTTTGAGAGAAGACTTTGCTGTCGTGTACACTGATGTAGAAGGGGAGTTAACTGTTGGAGGTGTGTTCCTTCGGATATTCATTTCCAATCCTGGCTGGGTCCTTCGGAAACCTAAAGAGTTCCTAACAGAGCTGATGGAGAAATGGACACAACTTGTCAACATGCAGGCTCCGGATGTAAGTACATGCACATGTTTCCACTACATGTAGCCAAAGTGTTACACATCCTTCTTTTTTGTTGACCTAAGTTAATGTTGACACTTTTAACTAATTCAGATGTGTGAATACAGTTTGTTTTAATAATTCAGAATTCTCTGGTTAAGGTCACAATTTAGCTGGAAATCATTTATTGTTGTTGATAATTAAGATAATATAAAAAAAATCTATTAAGATCACTTACACAGAGTTACTGTTTTTTAGAAAATGATTAACAAATTAGTGTCATCTCTCTGGATACATCATTTCATAATTCAGTCTGATCATACCTTATACAAAGGTTTAGTATGAGAAAAGCTTGTACCAGTTGTATATAAGACTGTTGATGGATAAGGGGCCAGGTGGTATGGTGGTAACACTCATTTCACCGAGGTGGTCAGGGTTCATTTGTCTGATCAGATGTGAGTAGGAGCATATGGTCACCTTCAGTTTCTTGACAAAGTAAGAATCCATGTCACAGTTTCACCGCGGACCTCCTTTATTGATTAATGTTGTTGATGTAGTTTGTTTAGCTGGATGTGCTATGTCTCACTTGTCTTGTTTGTAAAATTGAAAGCAGCTGGTGAAATAACTGACTAATTTATTGTAAATCTGTCATTACCTTTGTGTTTTTCCCAGGGCGAGGTACTAGAGACTGTAACGACAGCTGTGGTGTGTCTCTTCTCCTCTCAATCCTCACTGCTAGACCAGGTACCACAGCTTGGCTATATCCCAAAGGTGTTCCAGGCCATGTCTCACCGCAACAACGCCATACCAAAGGCCGCCATTCAAGTGGCACACCAACTAGCCAACAATGAGGTCAGTTTTTGCCCTTTGAACTACAGGGTTTGATTTGCCATGGCAAAGGTGTAGGCAGTCAAAAGTTTTGTTTTTTTTTGTTGTTGTCAGCATCAGCATCACACTCAACATTAATAGATTGCTTTCAGATAAGTTTTTTGAAAGTATTATAGCATGGGGGTAGGGGTGGGGAAAAGAAATTAGGGATGGATATTGAATAGAACATCAAAAATATCTATATTTGGTAAATATTGACATGAAATTTTATAAATAAATGAAGTTATATTTAACTTGTGAAACAGACTTTTTTCTCATTCAGGAAGATTACATTCAAGGAACTATTTGTGATTTTGTACACTATATCAGCCATCTTATAGGTCAATGTGAGGTCAGTTAGACATGGAATACTGCTGAATTCTTGTTAGGTTGATAATGATGTTAAAATATTATAATGAAACCTACATGGATCTTTCACAGCATTATTTAGTGATAAAAGTCTCTCTTTTACCCGGTAGATATGTATACGCAGCATGGCTCAGACGGAATGTATCGGCCCTATTAAGGTAGCTATGAAGGCACGTCGTGATCAGATCGCACTGGCAGCAGAAACTCTGGCTAAGTTGTTTGATAAAGGGGAGGAAGAACTTGTCTCGCAGGTAAAGATTAATTAAAAGTTAATTTGAAGTATTGATTATCAGCTCAGCTTTTTATTTTGGCTTTAGCTTTTGTTAAACATTTGCAACGTTATTAACTTCTAAATAAGTGTTATTTATAAGCTTATTCATGTCTAGCCTCCTTTTCATAGGTCCTGATTTTCAACCAAAATCATTTACAATGGACAATGTTATTTGTTAATTGTTATTTTACAGGATGTCAAGATAAACATATTTATTTATTTACAGGCTGTAAAAGCTGATATTGTCCCATTCCTTCTAAGATATATATGTATTTATTTATTTACAGGCTGTAAAAGCTGATTTTTGTCCCATTCCTTCTAAGATATATATATATGTATTTATTTATTTACAGGCTGTAAAAGCTGATTTTTGTCCCATTCCTTCTAAGATATATATATATGTATTTATTTATTTACAGGCTGTAAAAGCTGATTTTGTCCCATTCCTTCTAAGATATATATATGTATTTATTTATTTACAGGCAGTAAAAGCTGATTTTGTTCCTTTCCTTCTAAGATATATATGTATTTATTTATTTACAGGCTGTAAAAGCTGATATTGTCCCATTCCTTCTGAAGTTATTGGACGCTGGTCTAGAACTGCTAGATAATCCATCATCAACAAAGGCTCAGATTGTCAAAGCCCTCAAGGCCATGCAACGTAGTCTCATCTACGGGGAACAGGTAAGGTCATAACGATACCATATGTCAAGGTCATGCCAGAGATCAAGGTCATGTAAATGCCAAGATCACAGGACTGTTAGGAACTTAGTTGTCTGTTGAACATCTCTGGTGGTAAAAAATAGAATCCAATCAAAAATAAACTTTAAAAGAGTTCATTTAGGAATAGGTAGAGTTATGGCCCTTTGTTGAATTTTTGATGTTACAGTTTGTTGTGAGATCTTGCCTTGTCTCAGTTGTATCCACTGATTTGTTGATTATAAACTTAATTGTAGCCTTGAAAATATGGTGTGATATAGTATGCTATAATTATCTGTTTATAGATAACAGGGATTTTGGATAAGTCACCCATCTGGAAAGAATATCGGGACCAGAAACACGATCTCTTTATATCAGACACTCCAATCGCTGGCTACTTAACGGGTAAGTTGAGGTTTACATTTGCAGATGTAATCAGTGCTTTCCCCAATCAACAAAAAAGCAGGTGATGTGTTTGCTCTGTGTTTTATGTTTCATAGAAACAAAGAAGTGACCCATAATGTTGAGGCTTTTCCCCACTTACTACCACAATTTAGAGAAATTCCAAAATGTATACAGGAATTATTGGATAAAAAATCAACTTGTTCATCCTTCATTTCAATGCAGTGACTGGAAAGCACTGCTCTGATTGGTCGAAACTATGAAAGTTATATGATGATATGATGATAAAGACTGGCAAAAATGTTATATAGAATTTATCTAATAATGTAATTTTTCCACTAAGAAACAATTAGTGCTAGTCTAGAACTACAAGAGAGAGCTGTGGATTCCACTCTCTCAATTTCCATCTGTCATCAGTGAGTGTGTGTGTAACTCTTCAATGTGAAACTAAGTTGCCATTTATGATTAGTAAATGTTGCTTGCTGGTCCTTCTTAAGTGGCCAGAGTGCTGTATATATATATATAAAAATAAGGTCTGATTTACAGAGTTATTGCCCTTTGCTAATTGAAAATCACTGTGACTGTGGAATGTCTTGGTATTCTGTTTGACTTACATATGGGATATCAAAAACTAAGGCTCATATTTGTTCATAGTAAACTTACACCAACACTTTTTTCTCCAAGTTCTCAAAACATTCACCAACTCTGTGGCATTGTATGATATTAAGAGTTGACAGAACAAACGTCAGTGTTACAGAAGATTTTTTACATTAGTATTTAGTATATAAGTACTCAACATAGCATGCTTTACCCTTATCCCTAAAGTCTGAATTATATGTACAAGTACTCAACAGTTCAATATTCAATATCATCGTATGATATTCTGTTTGACCTCGATATGTAAACATCTCTCGAGATATAATCTAAACATAAAAATGCATGATCATAAGGGTGTCTTGCTGGAAATGATATCCATACTAAACAAAGTCTCTTTATTTCTCTTTTTCTTGTCAGAAATCACTAACACCAAAAAAGCATTTATGATGGAATTAAAATGAAAAAATTTAAATGAAACTTAACCACAGATTGTATTTTAAAATTATTTGATCAGTAATTAATTGATATTTTTGGATGATTTTATTTCTCGTAGATAAGGCCTCAGGTAAATAGCTATATTGCCTGCCATATTTGGGCCTAGTGTCTTGTCATCTGCATGTGAATGACCATATATGTATAACAGTATTAACCAGAATCAGACCCTGTCTTACCTTTTGACTCACTAACAGTTGACGTTTCATGTCAAGTTAATACTCTCTAACTATTAATGAATGTGTTGTGAATGCTTTTTATTACACCTTGTTACTTCCTGCTCAGTAAGTTAGGAAACATTTGGCAGATGGGATTATCATTTCTGTAAAAATATTTTCACTGTTAAGGAAAATTTTGGAGGATGGGATTATCTTTCTTGTTAAATATTTTTTACTGTTATAGAAAACTTTAGAGAATGAATTATCATTTCTGCCAAAACATTTCACTGCTACGGAAAACTTTTGAAAATGGAATTATCATTTCTGTAAGATATTTCTTTGTTATTCCCTATATATAAACACTACCTTTGTAAGTGCATTTATGTGGCAATAAATGCCATTTTGATACGTCTCATTCCACATCACAAGACTATTCATTGTAAGATTCACATGAGATGCCAACAGGAAAATGTTGACACTAACAATACAAATACTTCAACACCATACATACCTGTAATATAGCAGACAAAGTAATATACATAGCTGTAATATAGCAGACAAAGTAATATACATACCTGTAATATAGCAAAGTAATATACATACCTGTAATATAGCAGACCAAGTAATATACATACCTGTAATATAGCAGACAAAGTAATATACATACCTGTAATATAGCAGACAAAGTAATATACATACCTGTAATATAGCAAAGTAATATACATACCTGTAATATAGCAGACAAAGTAATATACATACCTGTAATATAGCAGACAAAGTAATATACATACCTGTAATATAGCAGACAAAGTAATATACATACCTGTAATATAGCAGACAAAGTAATATACATACCTGTAATATAGCAGACAAAGTAATATACATACCTGTAATATAGCAGACAAAGTAATATACATACCTGTAATATAGCAGACAAAGTAATATACATACCTGTAATATAGCAGACAAAGTAATATACATACCTGTAATATAGCAGACAAAGTAATATACATACCTGTAATATAGCAGACAAAGTAATATACATACCTGTAATATAGCAGACAAAGTAATATACATACCTGTAATATAGCAGACAAAGTAATATACATACCTGTAATATAGCAGACAAAGTAATATACATACCTGTAATATAGCAGACAAAGTAATATACATACCTGTAATATAGGAAACTAAGGTTTCTATTACTTTGAGTGTTTCTTTCTTAGGAGATCAAATTTAGTAAGGATATTACACTATAGTCACTAGTTTAAACAGATGTTCTCACCTCCTACTTTTGGTTTCTTTCCTGGGAGATCAAATTTAGTAAGGATATTACACTATAGTCACTAGTTATACAGATGTTCTCACCTCCTACTTTTGGTTGTTTTCTGTGTATTTTGGTACAAGTCTTTTCCATTGATTCACAGTATTTTGTCTAAAGACTAAATTATTAATTTTCACCAATCTGACTTCATAATTTTACAGCTTTGCTTTCAATGATATTATCATCTTCAAAAGATTAAAATTATTTTTAGTGCTTCCTTTTTTTTGACAACATTTTGTTCAATTTTCATCGTAATCTTGAAAATCTCATCTAATCTTTGAATGTATGTCTGATGAATCAGAATATGATTCAGGTTGAGGTCGTTTAATAATCTGGAATTCTGACTTGTAGTGCAAACAGTTCAATTCATTCAAGGAAGATATGTGTATAAATTATCATTCATTAAACAATAGGCAGGGAGTGTGTCATTTCTTATTGGATGTATTGCCCTCTGAGCAGCCAGGGCCATTTTGATGGAGGATTTCATTATAGTAGCTGGAGATTGTCTCATTGAAGGCTATGCTGAAGGCACATCATATTCAATCAAATGCATTTGGGTAAAGTGTTTTACCATGGGTTAGCACACAATTGTTGGTGATCTCAGTTTCCTGAGAATTACAAACAACTACAGTAGGGATCAGACCACACACCTCAGATCTTTACCTAAAAAACACAAATGTCCCCAGGTAGGGATCAAATCACACACCTCAGATCTTTTCCTGAGAAATACAAACTGCCCTAGGGAGGGATCAAAGCACCCATTTCAGATCTTCACCTAAGAAATACAAACTGCCCTAGGGAGGGATCAAAGCATACACAAAATTTTATACTCTTTCTCTGAAACTGAGAGTATGTAATATTTCATGGTTGGAAACTTAATTTTGCAGCGTTTTTGTTTCTTTCTTTAACACTAGGTGATATGTTATGTTAAACAACTGATACCTTTTGAGTTGATGTCAATGGTTTTATTACTTTCTTTGTGTCCTTAGGTCTGTAAATATAACAATCATTCTACCTCTGAGGCAAATGGTTCCTAGTTTCTGAATCAAACCTCCTAATACAGAGGAGTGAGTCACTATTCCTTGATACCTGACTGGACAGTGTCACTACCCGTTGCCAGGAAGCTTTGTTGGTCAAGTTGTCTACTTATTGGTGTAATTCTCTGACAAAAGATAGATAGAATCAAACCTCCTGATACAGAAGAGCGAGCCACTATTCCTCAATACCTGGCTAGACACTGTCACTACCCGTTGCCAGGAAGCTTTGTTGGTCAAGTTGTCTACTTATTGGTGTAATTCTCTGACAAAAGATAGATAGAATCAAACCTCCTGATACAGAAGAGCGAGCCACTATTCCTCAATACCTGGCTAGACACTGTCACTACCCGTTGCCAGGAAGCTTTGTTGGTCAAGTTGTCTACTTATTGGTGTAATTCTCTGACAAAAGATAGATAGAATCAAACCTCCTGATACAGAAGAGCGAGCCACTATTCCTCAATACCTGGCTAGACACTGTCACTACCCGTTGTCAGGAAGCTGAATTGTGTATAAACCTGTGATAAATCTACATACATGTCGCAAGTCCTGTACTCACAGAATATTGATGGGACTCCTAGAATTTCTAGAAATACTTAAATTCGACATTAGGGTACCCATTGTTTTATTGATAAAGTTGGGAAGGACATGAAAACAAATTGTAGTTTTATTGTTGTATCAATTTGTGTATATATCTATTGAAAAGTAGGTAGAAAGATTCTTATTATTAAATCTGTCATTATTACCTTTTTCTAAAGGGGATATAGTATCTACATTGGTTGTTATTTTATAAAAGATTTTGATCAAACTTGATGCAAAAAAATTTCAACACAATGCCAATGAGAGATTCAGGGTGTCAAGGTTACTTTTGCTTTTCATAAAAATCATGAAGCAATTCAGTGACAAATGACCTTGATTCTAAAGGGACTTCGATAAAAATTCATGCTTATGTCAAAAATGAGAATACCCTAGATGAGTTTGTTTTCCTAATATACATGATAAAATAGCAGAGGCATTCATGTCCTAGATATTTTCTTGTCTTTTTTTTCAAACTCAAATTGAATATTGAATTGTCTTTCTATTACATGAATCAATATAAAAGATATCATGTAGTTTGTTTGTCTATCAATGACCCAGGTTAGACAATTAAAACATAAATTTGAAAATTAATTCAAAATTATAGAATTGATTGTGATTTGATTTATATAAGTGCACTGGCTATGTGATCACACTTGGCTGTTGGTGATGTGCATGGATTTAGTTATATTCAGCATAAACAGTGGTGATGGTTACATTCTGTTTGCTGATGTCTTCTTTAAAATTCATTTGTGAATCCTCCCGGTGCCTGGGAACCTGTACAAGCATGCTGGCGGATTGCTACTTTAGATGCCAATATCAACCAGATGAAAATTTTGTAATTGTGCTTTGTACAGAAGCTAGTTATATGTTTCAGAACTATTCTGAAGTGAAATTATTATAGTACAAAAATTTAAATAAACATTTTCTCTATGCCTTTGAATTTTAATGTTGGTGTATATATTACCAATATCTACCCTTTACTCACTGTTGTGCCGTCATATCCCGTTACAAAACAGTTTCATATTTAACAAACCTCTCAACAAATTTGGTTCAGATTTACCCTGTAGTATCATTACGTCAAATTCTTTTCCTGATCAAATTAAGGTGGTCATCGGTCAAGGTCAAAGGTCACAGGTCACATTGGACACCGGCAAATCCATTGCATAATACAAAGCATAAAATAATGATGTTTATATTTCTTACAAACACCTCCTGACTAAGTGTTCTCTACTGGTTTTTTGGCTTAAATAAACTATCTGACTTTGATTAGAGATTGTCTCTAGAATTGATTTCTAAGTAAACGACTTATGTACAACAATGATACTGTCTTACTTTGTTGAAGGTCTTTACAGTTACAATTCCTTGAGTAAAATTGATCTTAGGAAAAAAATAGTCTTTAGCTTCCAATTTTTGCAGCTGATTGTGGTAATGTTCTGACTTAAATTAAATTTCTTGATATGAATAAAGACTACTATGAGTCTTTCATTCTAAATCTCTTCAAATGTAAATGTCAAGGTCACATAATATAATGAGAAAACTAGCTTCCAAAAATATAATATTATTTTTCTCTCTAGCCATCAAAACTTGAACAGAGTTTTCTTGCTTTTGAGTGCTTGCTTGGCATAGCTTTTACATTAATTATAATGAAACCATTAATCATAGGAAAATGGTTTTCACACCAAAGACTTGTATCAGGCTTTTTACCGAGAGCTTACTTACCAGAAGATTCTTGAGATACCCAGCAGAGATATCATTTTAGCTTGATCTAAAGGTATTTTTTATAATCACTGTAGGGCATGCAAGAAATATTCACTTGTTGAATACTTCAATAAAAGTCTAAGGCAAAAGCTTACTTTAAAATCATGTATTTAAACTTGTCCTGATGACGACCATCTAGTCGTCAAAACATATAGACAATTCCTTGTCTACAATTAAAACATGCTAGATGTTTAGGAGTCTTTATCGTTAGGTTTGTGATTGGATTGTATAATTTTCACATTTTTTTTCTGTCCAGATAATCCATGAATTATGAATTCATTATTATATTCCCCCCCACCCTTTAAAAAAAAAAAGTAGATTAACACATTGTTGCATTTCAGAATTTTGACACTGAAATGATTTTATTTATGCAATACATTCGACAAAATGTTTGATCAAAATAATAAAGAAGTGTGATTTTGCTTATTGCACTATTAGTTATAGCCATTTTCTATATAAGATTAAAAGTTATTTAATCCACACTATAAAATTCAAGAAAACCTTCTCTATAGTCTATTTTCTCTGTAAAATTTAGAGTTATTCAATCCACACTATAGAATTTAGGAAATATTTATATCTTTCTCTATAGTCTATTTTCTCTGTAAAATTTAGAGTTATTCAATCCACACTATAGAATTTAGGAAATATTTATATCTTTCTCTATAGTCTATTTTCTCTGTAAGATTTAGAGTTATTCAATCCACACTATAGAATTTAGGAAATATTTATATCTTTCTCTATAGTCTATTTTCTCTGTAAAATTTAGAGTTATTCAATCCACACTATAGAATTTAGGAAATATTTATATCTTTCTCTATAGTCAATTTTCTCTGTAAAATTTAGAGTTATTCAATCCACACTATAGAATTTAGGAAATATTTATATCTTTCTCTATAGTCAATTTTCTCTGTAAGATTTAGAGTTATTCAATCCACACTGTAGAATTTAGGAAATATTTATATCCTTCCTTTTATCCATCTCTGTTTTCTATAGTGTATATATACTATAAGTTGGGATCTTGTTCTTAAGCTTATTAGTATAGCTGTTCTTCTGAATGTTAATTATATGTAAGAAAGTGATATGTTTATCCCAGATATAGATTGGTTGATGTAGAATACTTCATGTCATCAATCTAGGTTTTAGGAATAAAGATTTGTTTATTCATCGTTTTGAAAAATGTTTGTTGTGAAACCATTTATATTAGATTAAATCTAGCTTTTATTGGCCTAAATGGAAGCAAACAAGTTATCTTTTTCTGGAAAGAAACAGAGTATCTGGACAAATATCCACATGGCCAGAGAGGTGACCCATGATGATTTTTCACATCAGATCAGAGAACTGAACCCCTGTTGACTCGCTGAAGGGGTCCATGCACCAACCTACATGATGGAATTGATTAAGATCGTAAATGGAAAATAATTTGGTATACTTGGAAATGGACGTTGATGCTGGTCTATCGCTAGTGTACATTGTTTTAAATTCAGTAATTATCGGTTTTATGGTTTGATAAGCTTTTCAAATTTTTTGCAAAATATGAAAAGAATTCTTTCAACATAAGCACAGTTAATGAACTTTGAAACTTATTCTGATGTTTATTTTCAGGTCCAGCTGGCCCAAATGTTGCTGGATACCTCACAGCAGGAACAAGAACCAACATGCCTGATGCCCCGCCTCCTTTAGAAGTACCAGATGATCATTGATTTTTTTCATCTGAAACAGATATTTCCATTGGCCATACTAGATCATGTGATACATTTTTCATCTCATTCAAATATCTGCAATATTTTGTGATAAGAACAATAATGTGAAAAAAAATCGTTATATATTTCACGAACTGTTAAGTTCATTTAGCAACATATTTATAATTTGACTCAAATGGTTATTATTTTATGAATATTCATGAATTAGTTTATTTTGGATGTAATGAATATTCATTATATTATCTGAAATGCAATGAATATTTATTAGTTTGTTAACCTTCTGAATAAGGAATTTTATTCATTGCCGAATTTTCTGAGATATCATGAATATTCATTACTAGTAATAACAATGTCTCCGTTGAAATATATTGATTTGTTAACTTTAGAGATCAAAAATGAATATTCATAATTTCAAAGTTTTAATCTCTTCAAAGTCATGTTTCAAATTAAATTGAAATATTGACTGTTCTCGTTAAAAGCAGTTATCCTGAAATAAGATTTTCACAGAACTTCATTCCTTTTTAAGGATGTTTTCTGATTTCTGTTTAATGTCACATATTTATATTACTTTGTATCACTTATTGTTTAACAGAGACAAAACATGATATTAACCAAAAAATGACATTAAGAGAAGTGGTATTAAGTGAAATATGTTACATTCTATTATTAGTGTGTGTATTTTATGTGATGTGATATTTCTGAAAACCAAACCACACAGGACTAGTCTAACAGTTCAGAGGTTTTGTTATTGAAGATGTGTTAAAATAAACGGTTAAGTTATAGGTTATTTGTTATGTTTAAAGTGAGCATTAGATTCGCAAATATAACATATGAAATGAAAGGGCAATACTGAAATTGCAAAAATTGACCAAAGTTGGTGATAGCATTGTAGTGTGTTTATCCACCAATAAGCCAATTTAGAGTTGGCATCAGTCAGACATTGATCTAACTCAAAGTCAGGAGATGGGCTAAATATAGGACATTGAAATAGTATTGGTTGAATATGCTACTGGAGAGCAAAACAAAGTGGTGGGCTTATTACCAGACATGGGCTTATTAGCGGATAAATATTGGTATGAGTATAAAAGTTGATAATATATGAGGTAGACAAAGTTAATTGTGTTAAATGTTATGGATGCAAATTTAGGTAAGTATGATTTTAATTCATTGAAATATTTTAAGTTTTTTGCTTGTTGTATGAATAGGTGTCTACTTAAAGCATTATGATCTTGTTTCTTCAGTAAGTTTGTACCATGTCATGAAAAAGAGCAACTGAAATCTCACCTTATTATATAACAATGACAATTCTTGTCAGGTTATTTGTTTGGTATTTGCTCAGCCGTTCTTTTTTTTTTTGTCATTTGTCTTCAGGGCTGTATTTAATGTGTGAAATAAATTTCATTTAATTGACAAATGGCCAAATACTCATCTGTCTGAACGAGTCGCCATCAAGGCATAGCTGTCCTTCTGCAATATATTTATTGAAACCTGCATCATTCTCAGAGTTCTGCTTTACCTTTTTTTGCATTTTCCTTTCTTTTTCATCATTAGTATACTAGTTTTAATTACTAAAACTTTCCTTGACTTAAATACAGTATAGGGAAGACATAGGGTTTTTGCCATCACATAAAATTGTTCATTCTCGCCCAAATTTTATCAAAAACATTTTTCCACTTTAAATTCAAACATAACCCACATTTTGTTTCACATTTTACCCCATTAACAAAATCATTTCCCTTGTGTAGAGTTGACTCTCACAATTATTGAATTAATGTGTCACACTTTTAACAGTGCTTCATTTCCTGTAAACTAGAAGCGGATGAGTGTTCATTTGACTGTGTGATTAAATTAATTATTTATTTTAATCGATTTCAGGTAAAATGCGTCATTTCATCGTTCATTTAAAATTTTAAAATCTGCTTGTTTGTATACCAATGAAAGGTATCTGCTTGTTTGTATACCTGTAATTCATTTCATAGTTTATGCAAATTTTGGGTTTGCATATGGCCTGTCGGTACAGACTTCATTAGCCTTCTCGTCCTACAACGTGCTATGAACATGATCTCTCAAACAATAGCAGGATATTATACGGTCGTAGAAATTCTATATGTCTGAATTTTTATGAAAATAGAAATATATATTCAGGAAGTTCTAATTTAATGGTAACAATGATATACTTGTACGATATTCTGGTAAATACAAAGGAAGGACAAGGCACATATATCTTGTTTGTCTATCATTTGTCTATATGGAAGGGTGGGGGGGGGATAAAATTCAGAATATAAGGATGGATCATCAGCTTAACAATCAATTTCTATCATTAATGTGATTATGGTCCCTATGTTATGATGATGTAGTGTACGTTCTGTACATCCTGTTTGTTAGATTTTCACTTTGAAACTTGTGAAGGTATCATACATTTTAAGGAGGTAAGGCACCTTCATAATATCCTCAATTTTTTAATTTGGGAATGCTGGGTTAAAGTTAGAATTAAATTTTCTATTATTTCTGTAATGCTTATAAAGCATTGTGATATATAGATATATTATGTACAATATATAAAATATTGTAGAAGATTTGTAAACAAAGTTATCTTTTCCTTAATTTTTGTTAGTGCTATTAGTCTACTGAATTCACTGGTCAGGACAGGTGCTATAACCAACAAAATGACCTCTGAGATAATTATTAAATCAACTTAAAAACCAACGTTTGTTCATGAACAAAAATCTAGATAATTCTTGTATGTCACTAGGGTATTTTCTGCAGAGTTGTACAGAGAATGTAAACAGAATATTTCCTCGAAAACCAGTAGTGAAGTGTGGATTTCATCGCATAGCTCATTAAATCGTAAACACTTGATGTTTATGTGTTTGTTACAATGTCTTATTATTGGTGTGATTGTTTACTTTATTGCTTGTTATGATAACCGTTGTTTACTGTGTTATGGAGGGAAACATTAACGTTTTGTCCTTTAAGTAGGACAGTGTGGAAGTGCTCCGTTTGCCAGTCTCGTTATCTTGTTAAATGGCAGTGTTGTATTTCTTCTTTCTCATTTTCGCGCCAGTTTTTTCAAATGTATTGAAAAAATTCAAGTGCTATTTCATCTCACTATTCTCATTTTCAATCACACATCACATTAACATATTCTACATCTCATAATATTCAAAAACATTATCATAGTACATAGCTAAACATTCATTAACATATCACATATCTCATTTACATATTGTACATCTCATAAGTATTCACAAACATGATCAAGTACATAGCTCAACATTCATAAACATCATTAACATATCACACATCTCATTAATATTCAGAAACCTCATTAACATGCACACATCTCATATCTAATTAACATATCACATTTCCCATTATTATTTACAAACCTCATCAACATATACATCTCATTAAGGTATAACTGGCCAGGTTAATTGGTGCAAATGGTGAAGATTGAATCATTTCGTTTTGCAATTTTGCTTATTTCCCTTAAAAATGAACAGATGTATTTACGTGAGAGTTGTCACTTGGTAAGAATTTTTATTGCCATTCAAATTAAAGACAAATTCTTTCAGAAATCAAATGTAAGACTTAAGAAATTATTAAGTAAAATATAAATGTATTTATCAAACATTGATTTTCTGAAGATGACTATGAATATGGAAAAAAAAATTTCCAATTGATATTGTTTGCATTGAAACCTGAAATACCTTTTTTATATTAGAGATTGGAATTATATCTACATAAATAAGAAACTATGCTACTTGGTATATAATACCTGTGTATTCAAATTTTCCAAGAGATATTTGGATTAACACTGTTTTACATTGGTTAAGTGTCAATGTGAATTTGAATATGTAACAAAAAGGACACAATTTTCATTAAGTCAACTTGAACTTGGTGTGAAATTCTTCTGTAAAAGAGATTACATAATTAGGTTGCCATACACTCTTAATCCACTAAGCTGTAAGATATTTGCTTTGTTGTACATTTTTTTCATGATATAGATATACCAACCAAATCATTATAATGAAAGTAATGCTTGATTTAAATTGAGAGGAGAGTACTTCTTACAATGTCCCGTAATTAATACTTGATTTAAATTGAGAAGAGAATACTTGTAACAGTGCTGAGTAAGTAATGCAGGATTTAAATTGAGACAAGAGTGCTTGTAATAATGTGGAGTAAAAGCTAAGTCTTCCTTATAAATAGACATCACTTGTTTATTTACATAAGAGAATTTTTGTTGTTTTAACAAACGATTGTTTATGAAATATGATAGGAATTTATCCTAATTTGTCTTTCTGTTCATTTCTCACTATTTAATGATGAAATTTGTTCACTAAGTATACATAACTTTTTAAGTACCAATGCTCTTTTTTTATTCAGATTTTTTCTGAATGGATAAATGACTGTATTTATCAGGATTTACGGAAGTCATGTGACTTTGTTTGTAAAAATGTGTTATTCTAGACGACTTTTATGCTGAAATTTATCTAAACCATTCTGAAAGTAACTTTATTAGTCTATAAATTCTAACATGATGCTTTACTGTTATTTATAAAGAAAACTGCCCAATATAACCTGTGTATTTAGACATTCTCTCTATACTGACCAATATGTTGCTTCTCACAGGTATGGATGAATCAAATTTCACAGAATAGATGATTCATAAGAATTTTCACATTAAATGGCTTCATTGATGATGATTTTCTGATCAAAAGTTTACCCAGTTAGGTTTTATTTCAGCTGCAATAAACATGTTCTTCCATCACTCTCTTTTAGGGCTATCAGTCGAGACTGGTGCATTGTGGGATTGGTACGTGTCGGTCATTTGTTTTTGCCATATTTCTTTATATATAAACATATTCTGTTGTATATATGTACAGAGAGGATATGATCAAAAGCTTAAAATGTCCAAATAAAATCACCAACAAGTGACTCGTTTGTTGACTTCATTGTTGATCTTCAATCCTTGTATTGATATAGCTGTTTATGTTGAACAGAAGTATATAAACAAGAGGGCTATGGGCCTTAACTGTCATCTGACATAAAATACAAGATTTCAAATTTTGAACTTGAGAAGAAGTCGGAAATGTGTTTTCAAGATGGCGGCCATGTTGGATTTCGGACCAACCCGAAATTAACAAACTTTGGTCAGGATCATGTCACGATCATTTTAGGTAAGTTTCAGCTCACTGAGACATGTAGAACTTGAGAAGAAGTTGAAAATGTTTACGAAGGACCAAGGACGACGCCGGACAAAAGGCGATAGCATTAGATCATGAGACCCTTCGGTCAAATGACCTAAAAAAAAGTAGTCCTGTGATGGTGAAACAAGGGAGGAGAAGGGATGGGGGGGGGGGGGGGGGGAGGTTTATAGTTTTCCTGTCCTACGTCTGTGGAAGGTTGTCAGCCTCTTTAGAGGCTTAATTCCAGGAAGGATTCTCATTAAACTTCATACAGGTATGATGCATAAACATCAAAATGCCTTTGGACATGTTGGGAGTTTTATGGTATTTGGGTCAAGGTCACTTACAGTGTTTAGGAAATCAATGTTGGCGCCCTAGTGCCTTCATTCCTAACATTCATTACATTGTAATGGTTTGTGGGGGCCGGTAAGGGATATACATTGCTTCAGCAATACATAACATTGTTTTCCAATAGCCCACCATCATCAGATATTAGGTTATTCAAATCGCTCTGCATCAGTGGTCCTTGGTCCATTTCCATCTGTCCATCATCAAATTTTGTTACCGCTATTTGTTGAGAATTATTGGGTGGATCTTTCTCAAATTGCATATGTAGGGTTCCCTTGGTCCCTAATTGTGCCCATGTGATTTTGGGACTGATCAGAAAAACAAACTGGCGGAAAGGTGGCCATCTTGGATTTTGACTTTGAAAGTTTGTTATCACTATTTCTTGAGAAGCACCGGGTGGATTTTTCTTAAATTTCATATGTTAGTTCCCCTTGGTCTCTAGTTGTGCCAATTTGATTTTGGGACCGATCTGAAAAACAAACTGGCCGACAGACGGACATCTAAGATTTTGACTTTGAAAGTTTATTGTGACTTTTTCTTGAGAACTACAGCACAGCTTTTCCTCAGTTTCTTAATTGTATGCTTTGCTTGATCCCTACTTGTGCCTGTTTGATTTTGGTACTGATCAGAAGAAACAAAATTACCTATAAGCGGCCATCTTGGATTTTGCCTTGTAAAGATTGTTATTGCTATTTCATAAGAAGTACGAAAAGAATATCTTTTAAATTTCATGTGTATGTTCCCTTTGATCTCCCTTTGTGACAGAAGAAACAATATGGCTTCCAGGCGTTCATTTTGGATTTGGCAGGTAAAGATTATCGCTAATTCTGCAAAGGAATGTTCAAATGTCTTATCATTAAGAGCAAAAATAGAGAAGAGAAATGAAAGGTTAAGATCCAACATTCAAAGAGCATATAAAGATTAAGCAATGGTGGGCACCAAGATCCCTCTGGTATCTCTTGTGTATTATATACAGTGCTAACATGTATCCGTAATTGATTTACTGAAGTCGAAGATGGTTCTCCACACAAATGATGACGAGAAATGTTGGAAAAACGTCATGTAACGTATTACCATTCTTCTTTGCTTGTCCTGCGTTAAGGTTTGATGTTTTCAGTATTAATGCTTATTTTGAAATCTGCTACACTCCATGTGACATTTTAGTCCGCCGTCGTTTAGGTCCGTCTGTCATCAGTATGTCGTCTAGGTCCATCTGTCGTCGTCAGTTTGTCGTCTAGGTCCGTCTGTCTTTGTCAGTTTGTCGTCTAGGTCCGTCTGTCGTCTAGGTCTGTTTATTGTCATCAGTCTGTCATTCAAAAATTCTTGTTGAAGCTATTAACTGAGAACCTGATTCTATAATTCCTGACTGTTTTTAGGAATATTCTATTCTGGGATTGATTCGAAAAACCAAAATGACCGACGGTTGACCATTGTGGATTTTGAAAGTTGATGTTTGTTATCCGATTTTTTTTTAAATACAACTCAATATATAATGTATAACTATTAAACTTCTTTTGAATGGTCCATTTGGTCAAGTAAGATGTTCAATTTTGGGACTGATCCGTAAAATAAAATGACCGCAGGCAACCATCTTGGATTATGACAGTTGAAGTTTCTTTTTCATGACAAATGTCATATGTAGACTATCGTAGTTGTTCATGCTCAATTTTGTGTCTGATCAGAAAAACAAAGTGGTCAGTAGATGATCGTTTAGGATTTGTTAACACGCATCTTTCTTGTGTTGAGAGTTTTCATTATCAGTCAGCTGTCGACATCTTACACAGAAATCTGTTTAATGGGAACAAGTCGCTGAATATCCGATCAATTATCTCATGTTCAGATCGTAATTTTGGGAAGCAGACATTTTGTTTTCAAGAAATGATAAGTATGGAATAAGACCATATGTTCCGGAACGGTAAGCACCTTCTCCTTCATCCATGTCATCCATCATGTAAATATTTGTCAATCCAATAATGTCACGATTTCAAATGAGAAAAGGTAAACAGGGACGACACCACCATTCCCTGATGAGGTCATATTGACAACCATCAAACTCACCGTCTTGTTTAACCTGTGCCCCTCGAGATGGAGGTAGCTAGCTGGTGTATGTTATATGTGCCTGGTTTCAAGATCAGGACAGTGTGGTCAGTATATTCTTTGCTATTTTAAGATATCGATTTGTTCGTACATGTGTCCTGATAGGTACTTCTCTCAGTCATAAGGGAAAAAAAACAACCCCAAACCCCCAACGAAAAAAAAAACAAACAAAAAACGAAGGGAAAATGAGACGAACATTTAATTAGGTAGATTTGCAACAAATGTAACAAAACTATTGTTTACAAGCCATCGTCACACTGAACAAGGAATAATCAACTAGTTTTGTAAAGGTGGTCGATGGTCAGTGTTTGTTACAAGGGTAATTTTATTTATAACGCTAGGACTTCTAACCTACAGTTTTAAGATATATTGGCCGAACTGAAGAGAAATTCTCCTTTTCGGGATACCGAACTGTACAAATAAACCATTCTTTTTGTAATAACACTTTACATTGTAGACTTCAGAAGACGGTCGCACTCAATAATGATTTATGCACTGTCAGATATAAACTTTGATCCAAAATCTATTTCTGTCTTGCTTTTTAACAAATTTTGTTGCTTGAAAAAACTATAAAGAACACACTGAATCTTAATTCAATGTTACAAAAGAAAGATTTACACGGAGACTCATGAGTGCAATGATAATAAGACCAGATGTTCCGGAAGAGTAAGCGTCTTATGCTTCATCAAGGATTCAACGAGGATTAAATTTTTGTCATATGTGCCGGAGAAATCCGGAATACTTACTAAGGTAACGATAAATAAAAACAGGAGGGGAGAGGAAGAACCGATTAAGAGTGGAAGATCCGACGTTTTCCTAGGCGGCCTTTGCAGAGCCGACTCCCAGGACGATTATAAACACAGCTGTCGTTAATACGTTCAACACGGCGTACAAATAAAAGAAAAAACGATCAATGATTTCTGCCACATCCTTATTGTTGTACGGAAAGTCATCACATTCGACTGAGTTTTCCTCGTCAGTCTCCTTCGCTGTGTCCTCGTCGGGTGTCCAAGCTGATGTTGTCGTCTTTCTTTTCAGTTTTTCTTTCATGATCTTTTTTATATTTGTTTCCTTTTTAGCTTCTTCGTTTTCTCGATTTTCTCCAGTCTGTAGCTCTACAACATCGTCCTTTTTGTAACAAATGATTTTAACTAGGCATCCTTTACAGACCTTCTCTAGCCACCTTGGTACCTTGGTGCCTTCTGGCTTTACCTGTAGACGTAGTGTGAGGACTGTGATCACGATGGCGATCATAGCGTATCCAAGGGTTACTGATAAGTACACACCTGTTAAAGAAACAAAGGTGCATTGTTTTTTTTTTCAACATTTTTCAGGCAACAACATTATGGTCGTTTTGAATTGGTTTTGCGTCTTTTTACGTTTTGCAACAACGTGTTTACTTAGTGTTTAATTTGTTTTTTCGCTTTTTTAAATTAAGTACTTGTATATTGAAATTTGTGAAAATTTGATATTTTACTTTGTAATACAGTTTATCGCAGATTTTTAAAAACAATTTAGAAACAACAAGCTTTGAGAGGTATTGAATCGAACATATTCAGACCATACTTTGTGGCAATACATAGTATATTCAAACAGTAGCGACAAAGCAAGGTTAAACAGAACACCTGTTGGGAGATAGACCTCGTCGCAATAACATAGTGAATTGTGGGTTAAAGCCGGTGAGATTAAAGAATTACTATTATGCAAAATAAAAGCTGCGTGGTGCCATTTCATTTCATGAATATATGATATATCTTCCTTATCTGTGTCGTTGGTCTGGATAACGGCAATAGAAAATATCTGTATTTTTAATTTGACGTTTGATTTTAACTGAACATTAAGACAATGTCTGGTATATAAAAATACAATATATTTCTGGTTATTATAGGCGCTGTATCTGTTGGTGTTCTTACTTACCCAAGACAGAGGTATTGAGTGACGTCGTCGGCATGGCGTCGGCTATAATAGTAAGGAGAACCGCCAAGGCCAGCAGGATGGTAAGGATGTAGGAAATCTTCTCTCCCGAGTCGGCTGGTAACAAGAACGTTACCGTCGTCAACACGGCTATCAGTAATATCGGGAATATAACATTTAAGATATAATACCCGTTTCTACGCTGGATCTCCAACGAGAACAACAGCTGAGAGAATGTCTCTCCTTCTTCGTAAAGTATACTAGTAGAGAGTCCCGTATTCAGCAGATTCCATTCGCCGTTAGGTTCATAATCCTCTAAATTTACGTACGTCACATTGTGTTCTAGAGTCACGTGATCTGATATATAGCCCCAGCTGGTGAGTTCGATGCTACACTTCTGTTTGTCAAATGGGTACCACGTGATGTCTATTTCGCACTGGGTTTCGTACACTCCGGGTGGGTCCCATTTAACCTCTCCGGTATACTTCACCCGAAACAGCAGGTCTGAGGACCCCAAAACTTCGATCTCACTCACCCTAAAAAGTCAAAAATTACATATGCATTTACACTGAAGACAACTTGAGCAGGAAACAAGGCAGTTTATTAAGTCAGGTCATTTGAAGCTGTCCACAGGTGATTGGACCACTAATGGACACTGGTACAGTCGACATACTGAATTGTTATATTCTGGACACGACACCACACTCGGTAACATTAAAATGATGACGGGCTAACCAATCAGTGTGTATTATATGTATTGTTGATCGACAAGGATTTATAACAAAATTTACTGAATTTAGTTTTGGTGAAGGAACCCATACACTTCCTTATTTGGGCGGACACTTATCATACAAACGCTTTTAATGACCGTCAGATGAGCTCAATATGTACATTTATTATGCCATACCTAGCCGCAGAACATAGTGATATAAAAGATGAAGAAAATCAAACAAATATATAAAGTTTTGAACCCAAATCCACAGATCTATATGTCACCGGAAATGCACCCAAACCGTCTTTGCTTCAATCCTCTCTTACAATTCTACAATATAAATGTATGTACAAGGGATACAAGAACCAATTAAAACATAAACCTGTATATTTAACTGAAGACTGGGATATTTTATTGAGGTAAGCACAACTGTGTGTTTGAGTTTCTAAAATCTGGCTATGGCATAGTGGCCACTCAACTCGTGTTTCCTGAAAACAATGTAAAACATTACTAGCAATTGTTTGAACTGTCAGAAACGACTATATACGTTCTCTACTCATTTCAATTATATATTCTTTCAACTCCTTGCTATTTCGGAATGTCTCATCTGAAAATAGCCCGTCTTTATCTTACTTATGAATATTTGCCAAACACCGAAATCTGAACAAGCAAGTAAGGCTACTGATTATGTCCATAGACTACAATACAGAGCCTAGAAAATGGCGCTTTCAACACATCATTTAGCGTTCAGTTGAAAAAGAGTCCGGGAAATGGATCGGTGTGTCCGTTCTTAGTAGGATGTCATGTTACCGTGTCATGGTTACGATGGCACTATACTATAAAGTGTCTCTGTAGTCTGTATGGTGAGACGCGGCAGGGTCCCATGTTGTCGTGTCGATGTTAAGACAGTTCAGTGTGATGGCACTATAAAGTGTCCATGTAGTCAGTATGTGTGACGCGGCAGGATGTCATGTTGTCGTGTCGATGTTAAGACAGTTCACTGTGATGGCACTATAAAGTGCCCTTGTAGTCAGTATGTGTGACGCGGTAGGATGTCATGTTGTCGTGTCGATGTTAAGACAGTTCACTGTGATGGCACTATAAAGTGCCCTTGTAGTCAGTATGTGTGACGCGGTAGGATGTCATGTTGTCGTGTCGATGTTAAGACAGTTCACTGTGATGGCACTATAAAGTGTCCCTATAGTCAGTATGTGTGACGCGGCATTATTTCATGTTGTCGTGTAGATGAAGACTGCATGCAGACCCCAAGGACACTTGATTATTATACCGTACGCTAGTCCGTTCCAGCGACCTGGTCTTAACCTGACATTTTAAGCACCAGTACTGGAAGAGTTACACCAGTGAACGGTAAAGGCGGTGATTACACGCGAATTTCAGTCAAGTCAACAACGCTACAGCGTCTTAAGATACTGGATGAATGGACAGATGCTCTCTAGATCAAGGTATATCTACAGATTGAGTTTAACGTGATGAACTTTCAAACAATATGGTTCCACATAAAACATGAACAAATAAAATGCCACCGGGGTTGTTCGTTGTTCAAGTTTCATTTCAAAAAGAGGACAAACACTTTCGCTAAAAGGGGAAAGTTGGTATACAATAACGTCAGGAGTGCCTCAAGGATCCGTCATTAGACTCATTCTATTAGTACTCTATATCAATGATATTCCAGATAATATCAACTCTATCGGCTACTTTTTTCTGATGATATCAAAACTGACAAAGTAAAACGTGGAACTGAAGGTTTAAGGGATGTCCACGTGGATATATAAATACTGTAAATGGATCGACAGATAGCTTCTGAAACTGGTAAAAATAAATCTATGCACATCGGTCGTGCGTCTATAATGACTAGGAAATTTTAAACGTCATATGATCTTAATGTCTAGTTTAGTTTTCCATATAATGACAAGAAAATCTTAAAACTCATGTGATCGTTATATTGAACTCACGTGTTATCTATGACGAGTTCGGGCTTCCATATGCTGGTTGAATCTAGATATATGTATTCTATGTCTCCGTAGGTGCTTGGTGTCCAGGCCAGCCGACTGTCTGTCCAATACTGTTAACATAGAGACATACATGTAGATCGAGAGAGTCCTTCGTTGATAGTTGGTGAAAATAAACAACATATTTCCCCTCAGTCCCTTGCATGGTTTCAGACCTACATTCTCAATGACGAGTCATCAAAGGACGAGTGTTGTCGCTGTGAGCTGGGGGAATTATAATATCGGTGGTGAAATGGTACAGCCTGCCACAAACAACCCATCAGCCACGTTTTCTTCCATCAACTAACTTTATTAACCTCAATAGAAAAGAGTTCCAAAATTGGAGTTGCGTCCCCTGGACCCGTGGGTCATGCCAACTTACCTACCCAACACCCCAATACACAACATGCCCCCCCCCCCCCCCCCCCACCCCCCCCCCCTCAAAAATAAAAATTGGCACAATTTTTACATGGGTAGGAAGTGACATGAATCTTTTCTATTGAGGTTAATAAAGTTAGTTGATGGAAGAAAACGTGGCTGATGGGTTGTTTGTGGCAGGCTGTACCCGGATTCTCCACCATGTTGTCGCTGTGAGCTGGGGGAATTATAATATCGGTGGTGAAATGGTACAGCCTGCCACAAACAACCCATCAGCCACGTTTTCTTCCATCAACTAACTTTATTAACCTCAATAGAAAAGAGTTCCAAAATTGGAGTTGCGTCCCCTGGACCCGTGGGTCATGCCAACTTACTTACCCAACACCCCAATACACAACACGAGACAGCTGTATGACGAGATCTACTTTGTTAAATTGCATTAAATCCCGAGTTTCTATTGAAACGTGTCATTAGAATTGTGTCTTTTGTACAATTCTGTATGGATATTTATTTTCCAGTGTTGTACCATACAATCACATACGCCTGTCATTATTTGTTCAACTCCCTTCTAACAGAGGATTTGTAAGATACTTGAGGAACCAATTAAGATGTGGAGATGGTTGACGGATACGATGTACGAATCTATTTACAGTTTAATGCAGATAGGCACAATAAATGTAGATTTTGATTTTACGAAATATTATTTGAAATAATGAACTATGTAGTACATGAAGATTTTCTTTTTCAAGCTTATCATTGCAAAACAATTCAAAATATCAAAATATTGAATAATATCCCGGTACAGTATACTTAAAAATGAATTATCTATTGATTTGTGCTCAACAAGATGTAGGTAGTGATATTGTAACGTAAAAAAACACAACCAACCAAACAATCCCCCCCCCCAAAAAAAAAATTCCAATGATAATAATAAACAGACGATGAACTTGTAATCGTATTGTCGTACATTTTTATGTGAAAATGATTTCATTGAATAAAAGAAATAATTATTTCCGCCATTTACAATGTGTTATAAGATACATACAAAAGATAGCCAGCCCGACGAAGACATCATCTGAGCTCGAATGTCCTGAAAAATAGCAAAACACTGATATAGCATGCTTTAAAGATGTGATGCCATACTTTTCCATTTTTTTTTCATTGACAATCTTTATCATAGCCGCACTTCATGTGTACATGTTTCGTCTAAAAAGAAAACAAACAGTACTCGCTTATTACTTAAGTGTTATAAAAAGTCATAGTAAATATGAGTAGGAATTAAGTGTGAGATAATTCTTGCCCAGAACTATATTAATACAGGGAAATCACAATTAAGGAAGAGACGAAATGCGAAAATAAATCAGGGGTGATTGAAGTTTGTTTTGCTAAAAGTCACATTACGTATTTTTCCGGATTTCAAGTCTCATATATACTTCAGCGTCAGATGATAATTTACAAAGGTTTATTTTGAAAAGTTCGTCTTAAAAATCAAAGCTGTCTGCTGCTTTATACCTTTAAATAGTAAGTACACTTTTGTTTGAACTTTATAGTTGTGAATCTCTCATTAGTTGTTTTGATGCTTGACATATCGCCCCTTGAACAGCTAGGAACATTGTAAGTCTGAATACCCTTATAATAACTGATGGACATACCAATGAACAGCATACAGGAGGTCCGTCGCCACGGGGCACTTAAACCACCTGTCGTAAACCGTTACCTGTACCTACCACATCGTTGATGGTCAGCACGCTCAGTTCCGCTCGGACGGTGACCGTGGCAGATGGACGGACTAATTTCTTGTAGCCAGTTAGTACCGCTGTGTGGATGTTATTGGCGTGTGTTGTTGTAAACACGGCTCTCGCGTAGCCTAAAGGAAATAGAAAAGACATATCTTTAAAATTCAATAACTAACACCATCGATTAACGAAAGTAATCAAGTGTTCTTACATGTTTTAATAATTCAGTTTTAATATCAGAAAAAAACAACGACGGCGCTAACATTAACTTGTATGATAAGTATGAACTATTAGAATTAACTTGTATGATAAATACGAACTATTAGTATCAGCTTGTATGAAGTCAAAGAGATATTTACTCCCGTCTTTTAACACGTATTGTTAAATTTTTGAGTGAAACTACATTGAAAATGCTTCTCCGATAGTCAAACATGTATCTAGCTCTCGTTGATCAGTTCAGATTTTCATTTAGACTGAATTTTGACTAGTTTAATTATTCGTTTACAGGTTTCCCCACCACCGATCTCATGCTGGTGCCAAATAGTGTCTAGGTCCTCAAGGCTACTTATCAATACACAATGTATCCCAATATAAGCTACAGGTTCAATATTTGATTGAATCTTTAAGAACAATTCTATGTCCACTTAGTATTATACATTATAACAACGCTGTTAACATAGGATTACTTTGGATATCATTACTAGTGCCAAATTTACACGTGATTTTCTAGATCCATTATATAAAACAAATTTCACTCATGTTAAAATTTCGTAATTTCTTTGAAATAGGGTTTTAACTGGTTAGTAATGTGTATTTTTCGTGTTTTTTTGTTTGTTTGTTTGTTTTTTTTTGTTCGTCTTAAAATCATATCCAAATGACAACTGTTTTTTGTGTTTTTTTTATTTTGTTTTTGTTTTTGTTTTTGTTTTTTTTTTTGTTCGTCTTAAAATCATATCCAAATGACAACTGTTGGTTGCAGCGGACGGTTAGAAAAACACGATAACCTTTATATATTTCTACAATTTAGTATAACTATCAATATTGTACATGGTAAGTATAATATGATGGATTCCTAAAAAGAGGTTGTGGCTTTATAAGATGTAGATGTATATGTAGATATGTCATAAATATTAGTGTTTCTTCTATGTTGTCTGTTTCAAAAACAATAGTTTCTGTATTTATTAAACCTGTACATTATTGATGATGTCGGGGCAAATCTCTTGTTTACATTTTGTAGCCATTTTATCGATTTAAGTTAGAAATAAGATTTTACTAAAACTAGATTTTTATTTTTAGCTTGCTTCTACAACATGGAAATCTTCGTTTACCCTATCTCCGTATGTCTCAGGTACTGTGTAGCTGTTCAGAGCTCTTTCAAGGTTATATCGAGCTTTCATTTATTGAAGATCAACCACTGTGATTTGCTGGATATCTTGATGTGTGTAGAGTCATGTTAAGCATTTTGTAGGAAACATTCAATATTGTACTACCGGCAATGTTGTGTAATATACAATGGCGTGCAAAAATAATTATGTTCCGATCCCTGTAATGTCGTAAAAGTGGGGGTTATATAGTAAACACTGATAAAAATGGTCTGCAAAGAACAAACAATGTTATATCTATCGTTTATTGATATATTTGATGTAACAGAAAAATCCTAATCGTCAACTTTACCAGATAGCCTTCTCTAAACATTTTTACAAAACATGTATAACTGTAGGGATACATAGATGTATTTACATTACTTATATCTATTTGAACCACTTGAATCTTTACTGTTTTTGAGTCACGTGAAGTGGTTTGTATTCAGTGTTAACACAAGTGGTCATTGTCGTTATGTAACTTTCCTTACTATTTGACAACATAGTATTTGAACATCAAAACATTCTCATAATAATTTTTTAACAGATATCCCGTTTTTTATCATTAGAATTCGACATACCTATTTTCGGCCTAGATTGACTTCTTAATATAGTACTTGTTTATGGTGAAACAAATCATGACTATATTAAAAATAATTAATATGAAATTTTTATCTCAAAGTACGTAAGATTTTTTTTTTGTATCGGCGAAAACGTCGAAAATATGAAAACAAATGAATACGTTTAAATCAAAATTTCACGTTTTGCTGACTATGCTCTGTGAAATATCTAATTAACTCTTATTTCACAAGATATACATTTTCAGTTTCAAAATGTAAAGTGAGAACATGTACTTGAACTTTTCGTTGTATGGGGTGTATATTCAGTATTGGATAAGTGTCCCCTCCCTTGACGTCTACTTGGTGTTCGCTGATTACTTTCAATATTTACTTTACATCTGTGAAAATGTGCACTACAGAGTGTGTTTTGAGATTGACAATACAGATACACATAATTAAGTTGGTAGTATGTCACGCGGGAACACAATTAACCACTGCCTCGACCCAATTTTGTAAAATATAAATGACGTGCGTAGTTTTAAATTGGAATTTTCAATATTATAATAGTTTCAACATGTCTCACAGAAACACTAAAAAGACAAAATCGGCAATTCGACAGAATCTTAATTCAAACTCAAAGTCGATTAATTGAGACGAGAAGTTTTGGATCGAAATGTTGCTTTATTTATTAATTTGATTTTGGAGATGTCTATTATTTTCGTGCATGTATTCAATCCTCGAAAAATAGCAATAAACAGACAGGGTCGTTTTGAAGCGAGGTCTTCCTGTAGTATTTTGTGGAATACATCTGCCGCTTAACTCGATGCTGCCAGGAGGGCTTTCAATAGATTATCTGCGATAAACGGGATTATTTCAATTTTCCTGGTGTAAATTTTTCCATTTCTAGATATCAGCATCCGAGTTTCCGCAACCTGTGATATCCAAAATTGTTTTTATTATCGTGACTTTCCTGTAAGATGTTGACAACTGACAGATGTCTCAGCACATGGATTCGAGAGATACAGGTTGATGAAAGTTATTGAGGTTTCTAATCATGGTAATGCTCTCATTGGGAACTATTCTAGTTATTTGGGCAATATGAAGTTGGAAGTGTTTGATGCTCGTTAGTATACATGGTGGTTCCGTTGTTCTTTTGTTCCTAACCTTGTTCTTATTTCTGAACCTGACATTACATACATTGATTGACAAAGATATACATGGCGGCTGGGGTTGATGAAGCAGAAAATGCCTACCCTTCTGGAACTTCTGGTCTTAATTCACGTGCTATATCAGGAGTCTCTGTGTAACAGTGCCGTCCTGCCGCTAAGTTACAATAATAAGGAGACGATATCACAATTACGTTATGTTTGTCGAATCCTCTTTGTTCATCTATGTACTATTTTGCCACTGTCGCATGGTGTATTGAATATAGAAAGACGAATATATCTCAGCGTCATGTTCCGCTCTTCGAATTGGACAAGATAGCTAATTAATTCTTATTACACTAGATAAATAGTCTCAGCTTGAGCAGACGAAGTGAGAATATTAAAAGAGCCTATTCATTGTATAGGCGTTCAACGGTGGATAAGTGTCCTTCTCGTCAGCTAGTTGACGCTCGCTACTTACTGTCAATATTTACTTTCATCTTTGAAATTATGCATTGTATAGATGTGTTTAATATCACCTTAGTAGATAAATGTAATTTAAGTGGCAGGTACCTGTACTATGTCATGCTTGGTTAACGACCATATATATTCTGAAACATAATTTAACCCCTAGTTTTTAAGGTGAGCTTGGAAAATGACCCCAGCTTGCAGGGTGTATTTGGAAATTGTAAAATATAACACGGACAGAGAATTAATTGCACAAAAAACACAAAAGTGACAGGAATCTTCCAATATAATATATAAAATTGGATACATCGATTTAGTAAATCCAAATTAATTAAACTGTATTATAAGGTGACTTCGTGATAAATTATGTTGTCACTCTTACAACTATTGGTATCTTGCTAAATCAGCACTGGTCAAAACGAGTGTCATAATACAGATAATAAAATATACACATTTCAATTTAAATAATACATTTAGTCACAAGGTAAGATCTGAAGAAATATGAAATTTCATTACCATTGTAGTTCAATGTCACTTTTCTGTTCTATCCTTTTTGAAAATTCATGTTGATTTAAATTTTACTTCCGAAATTTCTTGATTTTTCTATCAGTTAAGAGTTTAAAAGGGACAAGAACATGAGAAAAACAACCACTATGTACATCTAGTTCAAGCTGAGCAATCTCACGTGTTCAATGAGAACAAGGTGCATGTATATAGCAATGTGAACATCTCGCATTCTGACGAGCATCAAACGCATCTAACGCTGACCCTTCCGAAACACGAGGTCTTCATCATTTTACATTTTCACATTTTCACAGATATCCGTGGTAATCTTTAGCCGAATTTGTGTTTGAAAACAACAAGAAAATGCCAATATGTCAACATAAACATGATACAAATTTAAATTCAATAAAGCTAGGGCAAAATATGAACAAAAGATAAATTTATACGGTGTCTTATGAAAACGTACAAGGAGAATAAGACCAGGTGTTCCAGAAGAGTGTCATCGACGACAGACGCCATGTAAATCTTTGTCAGTTCAAGTAAGCAATGGCAGGTTCTCAAATTAGAACAAGGTATACAACAGCTGAACCAACAGGCAAATTAACGATCATCAAATACGTCCAGCTTTATGTCTCATAAAGAAAGTGAATATTTCTCTATGAGATCACTATGACGACCGTGAAATCTACCCCGTATTACTCATCAACCTGCATCTTTTGAAACCCTTTGTTACGAGTTTTTTTCCGTCAGTTGACAGTTTCTTGTACGAAAATCACGAAATGGGAACATGCCCTTGAATATCGAATCAACTGCTACATGTAAACACAGTAGGTTGGGATGCAGGAATGTTGCTATCCAGAAATGGAAAATTCACAATATTGAAATTGAAATCAACACGCTTATCATACAACTTGGTAAAAGACTGTCCATGTTGGTTTTGTTGTCGGAAAATTCGAGATAAGCGGCTGATGTTAAAAAAAAAAACGTCCATGATTTCCAGTTCTGGTGGATATATAGATAAATGGTAAGATTCTGTGATATGTCGATATTTTTTCTACATTGGTGTTTTTTAAAAGAACAATGAAAAATTTTGAATGTGTTGTTTACTTTATTAGACAAATGCAAAATATTTAACTATATTTAACTATTCATGTTTAAAGTTTTTTTTTTACTTTATTGTATGTTATATGAAAAATATATTGAAGCTCGTCTGTAATGTATTTATTTTTTAAAGAAACTATTTAATATTTACGTTAATATGTATGTACGAGTATATATGTCACTTAAGTCTAATTTCATTTAATGTTCAAAAATCATGTTTATCTTTTCTGATTTTAAAAGCTTTGGTCACGATTTGTTCTTTAAACTTTAAATGTCAACGTCGTGTTTTTCAGTTTCAGAACTGAAGGTCGTAATATGTGTTAAAATGATACTTATCATTGCTTTTAAGTTTGTTTCGTTGTTTCCCCAGAACTTTATATCGATTCTGTTTTTGCTAACTATAAATAACACATGTTTTATTTCGTTGGCTGGTCGAAAACCGTATTAAGTCAATAAACTAATTTTAAAAGTCCATAATTTTTTTTCTTTTGAAATATAAACGTCAATTTCGTGTCTATTTCTAATTTCAAACTGAAGGTCATCTGTGTGTATATACAATTAAATATTGAATAGAAACTAGCAAATTATCGACGTTTTAAAGAATCATTAAACACGTTTGGTAGCACAGTTTCGGTCTAAAGTATGTCTAAATTGCAATTTAGATTAAACTTTTGCTTACGAAGTGTTTGAAACATTTAAACACCAGTGCTATGGCATTTAAGTACATTTCTCTATCACCGATATTTATTGCAACACTCTGAATACAAAATTAGGAACTTACTACAACCGAAAAACTTATATAAAATGCATATTATTATTTGAAATCAATCTAAAATTATTTCAGATATCAAATGTTTGTTACTTAGAATCCAATAAACAGTAACGGAGGAATTTTCACATCTATTTCTACTTTCGCTTTACCTACATCTAAGCAGTATTTGTTGCTTTTTATATCATATGGTTCCTATATCTGTGTATAAACATCACGTGCCTGAAACAAAGGGCATTACCTAATTTACTGTATCAGCTGTTAGCAATATAACAGAGACATAAAATGCGTACTCCTTTATAAGCCTTGGTGTATTTGACTGTCGTTTTTACGATTTCGAGTAAGGCTTGTGATTTTTTTAACATGTCAATATTATCTTTTTTTCTGACCCGGAGCAAAAGAATGAAAAAATAACACTGACTGTAACTACTAGTATCTTTATAATAAAGATGTACTCGTTTATCGCGTGTAAAACCTGTGTTTACTATTAACCATCATATTGTAGCTGTAATATGATCTTAGTACTTCTCGCGCACGTGAGAATATTGCACTAAAATGTGTCCGCGCTATTTATAGTTTCTGTATGTTATTTATATAGTATTAATTGTGAATAAACAAATTGGTAATTGTGATAATTTGCCAAAAAGTGATAATCCGCTGTAATTTGATTACTCCAAATTAAGTAGACTTCCAATATCGTAAGGTCTGTTCGCTGTTCATCAATCATTTATGATACTCATATTTGATCGTGTGTTTTGTAAAGTAAAATTATCATTCACTTTGAATTTTTAATGTACATTAAAACAATTCTTTAATGTGATGCGTGTATAAACAGTTACCATAAAATATCATTGTATTTTACTCGTCAAGCTCTACGCAAGTTCGTATCATGACACTTGTTATCTAACTGGAAATGCCTGACTTGAAATCACGAAATGATATGCGATGTTTGATCAAATTAATGTTTGAAAGAGTGTGGCATTTTAGTTTATTGTCGCTGATTGCGGATTCAACATTAGATTTGTGGTGAATGGACGGTTTAACAATCCGATCTGTGGCGGTGGAATTAATCCAGTGTATATAATTATAGTTTGTAATTAAAGATCAACATTATCATAGCAAACTGGAGATTTCAAACACCAAAATAAGTATGTTTATGATTTTACCCAGACAAGTAAACAACAGTTTGGGTATATATATTTATATAAATGTGTGTGTGAATGTATTTTGTGATAGATGCCGGTCACAAACAGTTTATCTATGCCATTTATACCCGTTTGATACTTGTGATATATTTAAACAAAACAAAACAAAAAAAAAGAAAGATTTTTCAGACAATGAGTGTTGAAGTGGTATTTGATGTATATTATTGTAAAATCACTGTATCGTTTGTGAAAGTCAGCAAATTGAAAAAAAAAATCTTCAGTAAACATTGCGGTAACTTGTTCGAACGATTAAAATGTGTACAAATCACGGTTCCTGATGTACATTATAGAATGTCGTATATATGTGTCTTGTGTCAAGATCAGTTATCTGCGTGCAAATGTCATTACTTTCACTTAATTAAAAACTCTGAGATTTGTTCTGAAACTAGACCCATTGCTTTTGAAAGCCATGATAGACACTGATTGAGATCGACATTTAATTGGAAACGTGCTCTGTTCTACGTCTAGTTGTTGACAATCTCTGTTCTATTCAGCGGCAGTTTTAAAGGGTGCGCCTTTTATGAACAGAAATTCTCACGGAGAATTGATAACTTGTTCTAGCTATCGTGTTACTCATCACACAAACCTTTTGTCAGGAATATCGTTATATATACTTTTGAATATTATGTATTGTATGTCACAACATCATCATATTACAACCGTGTATTTAGATAAATAGGTATTTACTACAATAGCTGGGCTATATTTCATTTTTGGTTCGACAACAAACGTAACACCCCACAACTCGATTGTTTTGGCGAACCGTTTCTATGACAACCAAACATATACAGTTGAACCCCATTATCTCGAAAACTTCGAGCTATCTGAGTATTCGATTTAAATGAGTTCGAATGTTTGGCAAGGAATGACGGAATACGTCAAATTAAACGGGGTCTTCGAGTTACATGAGTTCGAGATAACGAGATTTAACTGTGTTTTTATTACGGAACACTTACGTGTAAACGCTACAATAAAAGATGAGATCAAAGATTTGATATAACATAGTTTGTGAATAAAATTTTATCCAGTCAGTGAGCGCTTAACAAGGATTTGAAAACAAACAGAGTACAGATATATTGGCATTGTTTATAATGCGTTTTATATTAATTGTCTTTTAAAATATTCAACTTATCTTCAATTATTGGACTCATTAAATTGATCGGCCATATCACTTATCTCTAATAGGGAAGTTAGGTAAATGTCGATGTTGTACAGCTATACAGAGTTCTTTGGTCCGGCTTTGTGTGGTGTTTTGTCTGGGTAATTATGTTTCAACAGTAAACATCTTTATCGTTATAAATGGAAAAGCCGACAACAAAATCAAAATTCGATATTTGATATTTTTCATTCCGAACCGGTGTAAATACGTGACCTCGTTTTAATTTCTGTGTTCTTTAAACACCAAACAATCGTTACCTAGACAATGACATACAAAAGGTGATATCAAACCTGTGGTTATCTCTGGATGTGGTTACCATATGGTACAATCATCACATTGTCTACATCGTATATAATATACATTCGTCTGACTTGCTTCACAAGATAAAACTATGACGGTGCTCACGGATGCTTGTGAAATGTCTGGCAATTATTAGAATAATTCAAATAAATAAAGTCGAATTTTGTATAATGAACGGTATGTTCAATAGTTTCATGAATTCTCAATCAATGTTCTAACTAAGGATTGTTTGTTCTCAAAATCAATATTGATTGAATTTATACGTACAATTTATTTACCGTTAACTGGTTATGAGCTTACATTAACTATCAAAATAATCATTTGTGTATACAATGATCTTTTTTTTCTTAAAAATAAACATAACACGTTTTAGAAAACTGGTCGAGGTCACATTTTTATCAATTAATATGGTGGTGTTTGTTTATTTATTTCCTTTGGAAAGATCTTGGTCACGTCCCTCAAAACAATCTTCAAATTTTAAGATTCTTAAAAGAAACCCCGTTATATCAAGGAGGGTTCTTAAAATGAAAATCTGTTTTGTCGTAAAACGATCTGAAAAAATCCTCTTTTTTCATAAGGTGGTGTAAAACGTGAGCCATTATTATGTAAGGGTAGCACTGGCGGATTTAGAGGTGAAATTTTAAGTTAAAAAATACGAGCGCTTCTCTATCCCGAAATTCTGAATCCGCCCCTGGGTAGTGTGATCTCGATAGAATTTATACATGTTAGTGTAATTTATACATTAAATTACCCGATGTTAGTTGTTATTTTGTAAAAACAAGAACACGTGTCAACAGCACCACTATATATAAACCCAACAGCGTGGAGTATAGATAAGTTATATTGTTACACTACACGCGAAACTCATTTCACAGCATGTACGGACTTAACGGAATAATAATGATAAACTTCTGTTCAGTCGTCAAGTGTCTTCAGCAATAAGCAAGACTCAATCGCTAAAGCTGAAAATCGAATCTTTGTCATTATTTGATAAAATTATTAAAATATAAAACTTGAAAATATGAAAAATGTACAATTCAGTCCTGAGTGTCACGTGTAAAGATGAATCATAAAATTTTTGATTTTGATAGATTTTTTTTCATTTTGTGACAGAGCAATTAAATGTAAAGAAGATTAGAAAATACAAAAAGTGAGAAAAAATTGAACTTACCCACATAATTCAGCAACAAAATAATTCCCAAAAGCTGCATGCTTTCAAATCCAAAACAATAATCTACACTATTATGTAAACATGTTTTACATAAAACATTGTGATACTGTTCCTAACTGCTACACGACTGTCTAGCATTAGTATGTTTCAAAAGATCTACCCGGTGGTTTTTAGTTTTCTGTATGTCTGTGTTGATTTAAATACATCCCAGTATATATCATTATATACACGAAATAGCGTGTCTGTCAATTAGGTATATATACGTACCAACAAAGAATTGGGTCAAAGGACTCTTTATTTTCACTGTCCATGAATGCCTTCCTTTTAAAGAAACTATTTATTGGATCTGTCCGTCGTATTTCTGTTCAAAAACATGCTTATCTTTAAAACAAATATAATAAGATCATTAAACGGGATAAGTCTTGTTCTCACGCGGACATTGGTCAAGGTTCACCAGGACCTCAATAGGAAAGAAATTTAATTCTAAGTACCCCAACATAAATTATTTTAGAAAAGTGATCGTGGTCATATTTTACCAATTGATATCGTGAGTTTTGTCTTTTTTCTTTCCTTTTGCAAAAATCTTGGCCATGTCCTGCAAAACAATCTTCAAATTTTCGTTAAGCACCTGAAAGAGAAAAATGTCATTTCGAGTTAAACTTAATATCGTTCTGTACGTATGATTTGTCCATATCTACAGTGACACTTCAGACAAACAATGACGACACCAAGGGAATGTTACTTGACTCGAATTCTCAAGTGACACAGATTTTCGTTCATCCATTGCCACGATGCTGTATACTTTATATGAATAGTACTCACACATACAAAAAATGTATTTTTCAGTTCACATGACATCTTGAATACAGTTTCTTTGTGAAAAGATCATATTTATTGTAACATAAATGACGAAACTCCGATAAAAATCCTTCAACGCAATTTCTAGATATTTTGGTCTTAACTAACCCGTCTATTGGCAATTTGCCATGAAACGACTTTGACTGCTCCAGTCAATCTGGCTGTTTCATTCCGTGTATATTTTATCATAGAACTTCACATAATTCAAAGAATTCCGTGGACAAATGAATTCGTGGATTTAGAGTCCACATTTGATCAACAAAAATGGAACCCCACGATAAGTAATGATTCAACAGTTTATAAAACACATTATAGCATAGTAAACTATAGAATATTGTAATCGTGACATGTAGTTTTGCAGTTAAAATCTCACTAGTCTTTTGTTCTTATGAACTGGAGGGTAGATTCGAACCAACATTCTATTGACATTGTTACCAGACACGGCATTAGGTATCTCAGTCATTCATTCCGAGTCATCATCCCCCTTTTTGAAAGCAATTCAAAATATGAAAACAAATGAAATATAAAAATGCAAGAGAAAATGCAAAATTGAATTTTCGAATTTAGACATTTATTTATGTTGACACTTAAGTTCGCACTAAGCTCAAACAATCGTTGCAAAAAGCCTGTATTTACTGGTTCTGATGTTAAGACCATATCTAAAAATTTGCATAACGAGTACGTTGATGTGTCGGCCGATAATGCAACTGATAACTATTGTTGTCTGAAAACACATCGTTATTTACTGTATGCTAAATGAGCTACGCTTGCATGATAGCCAAACACACCCTATATACACATTACCAGACTAGATGTCAACTAACTTTTTTTTCCCTTTCGGAATATCGGTAATGATAAAAATACGGACCTCCCTCGTTTATACTAGATTGCTGAACTGTCAGAGAATCCTTATTGTAAACATTAATTCATAAGCAATGAATTTCAAGGTAGTTTTGGCCTTATCTTGCTTAGCTGATTTGTGAGGAATGTATGTTGTAAGTAAGTTGATGGTAGTAAAAGTGGAGTGCGTTGTGAAGTAGTTTCGAGACCTGTAACAATTTCCCGATGTTTCGTTTTCCACATGGCATTCGTTTCATTACCAAGCCGTTTGCCTGAAGAGCAAGTACTAGAGTCTATGCTGTGGTATATGGCGTCGATCGTCTGTCCGTTAGACGCCAAATTTCAATTAGCAAAAGTTACATAGAGTGGTAATATCAATAAGGATATAGTCCTTATTTCAAGACCATACTGTTTAAAACTTCTTTTAAACAATCAAGTAGTATAAAATCTAGATACCCGACTAGTTATATGATGTTTTTTCAAGATAATGCCTTTCACTGCTAAGCCTGTGAATTTCAGCTTTGAAGTTTACCTGCATGAGGTAAGTTACACAGATAAGTTTGAATTAAGATTCTGCCGATCAGTATTTAAACAAGCGAGGAAAGGAATTGGAATAAGATAAAGTACCTACTTTAATATACATATGAAATGTTTCAATCTTCGAAATCCATTTGACCATTCGTTATATCAAACTCCACGCTATCCTATATTGTAGTGATATATTTACAGCAGATTCACGTCATGTAAACTTTAACGCTAGAATTCATCCCAAAGGTGAATGTCTATATATTAAAAGCGTCAAGCAACATTTATATATATAATTGATTAAAAACTACTCTATTATTGAAAACAATGGTATTGAAAGTGAAAATGTCTAAATATCATAGTTCATAACTGCGTCATAACCTTATTACTGTAAGTCTCTTACCTTGGCATCGGTATTCGAACGCACCCTACAAATTTCACCGCCGCCATATTGGTTCACGGAGAAACCTACCTGGAAATGTACGAAAAACACTTTAAGGTATACTAAGAGTTCTGTTGACCCATGTGTATTTTAATTGGTTTAAGTGTATGGATTATATTTCCATGTTACATACTGCGTGTCGAAACTCATGGAAATACCGTATTTATAGGATAAAGAGATACCTTATTTAATTTGATGCGTGACAAATTATTGAACTTTATTCACATCCATTTCTTCCGCGTGATCATTTCTAAGGTAGCTTGAACAGGTCCATAAACACACATTTAAGTATATAAACTGTTAGTCGATTGTTGGCCAAACGTTGTTGCCATGTTCAGGTAATCGAACAAAACCAGAGTTATTATCTTGACGCGTGCTTTCTTTTTAGGCTGACTAGAGACAAATTGATCTAGTGTGTGTTTGTGAGACGTCAAAACGGCCCCGCCCCCATAATATATTTGCCAATGTCTTAAATTTAGCGAATGCTTGTATGTACAGTTGTGTTGTTTTTGCAACGGGGGTTGTTGATCAATTATGGGCGCTGCAAATATCCTTGCAGTTGATATTGAGGTGCGGTTTTCTGCCGAAAGGGGGGCAACTCTATTTCAGTTCAGATACATATGCAACTCACTGTACAAAGGTACTATTCTCGCCTGCCAATACAATCGACGAGGCTGGTACATGTGAACTGTATGACACATTAGCCATAGATCATAGGCAAATAAATTGTGACTGGTTCGTTCGTGTGTGTTTATCATTATATACTTCAGTAAGTATTAAAGGAACAACTGAGTCAATCATTTTTTTTACAACAATAGAAAAATATACATATCCAGAAAAAAAATGCTACGTAGACAATGTATGGTGTGGTCAGTTTAAATTTGGGGGGAAGTCGGTGCCAGATATAGCAAGAAATGGCATATATAGCACGAAATAATGCGCTCTCTGTCGGGAACAAAGTTGATTGTAAACTTGACTAACTTGTTCTTTTAAAATGTAGAAGTTAGGAGTACAGCTCAAGTCTCAGCTAGTGGGATTTTCCCTTTAGTCAAGTGGTGGAGTGTCCGGTTAGAGACTGAAAAGTTGATAATTTGAACCCCAGGGATAGCAGTGTTTTTTTCATTACTTTTTTCCTAATACAGATTAGGTACCATTGACAACTCTAAGGGTTCTCCTATAACATAAGAGGGTGCTGGTCAGCTGTGTGATTATCTGCAACGCCTGTCATAATATCTCGACATGTAAAACCTCTTAACATTGTTGGAGTAACTCTAAGGATAGAAGCTAAAGGAGACTGAGATGCTTCCTTGGAGATATTTAACCTGACTTGTTGTTGCTGTGGCGGCAAAGACTTTGTGAAGGAGGGAATAATGTAGAAGTTGAGTGTACAGATTGCCTTACTGGCCTCGGTTAGTGGAGATTTTCCTTTTTCCCAGTCTGGCTTTACACCTAAAGATTCAACTGTATATCAACTGTTATCTATTTATAATTACCAGGATCAAAGTAAAGGTATCAGATTTATATTCTGTGACACAAGCAAGGCTTTTGATAGATAAGAATCATATGGTGTTTTAAAGGTAATCTTTTAAACTGGTTTCAATTTTTTTTATCTTTTAGAAACAAAGAGTTCAAACTGAAGATTATTCTTCAACCTTTGACTCTGTTGAGACAGGAGTTCTACAAGGTTCTTTTCTTGGTCCATTATTGTTTTAGTATAAATGATACTGTTGAATGTGTTTCCATTTAAATCAAATTATTTGCAGATGACGCCTCGCTCTCCTGTATATGTAATAATAATCCTTTTGAATTGACAGAAAGGGTTGCTAGTCTGAATCTTTGTGATAGCAGCATTTTTCATTACTCGTTTCTGTTACAAAAGGATGATAGATAAGGCAAGTAAGTTAGTTAACATTCAAATTCTGGTAATAGAACAAGGTAAAACACATTCCTGCCAATACAGGAATTGATCCTGGGACTCCGGTAAGATAACCTTCATCTCTATTACCATGGTTTGTTGGCTGAGTGATGGCCACACTGATCTGGCTTAATTCACACTGATCTCTCTGATCTTCTTGAGATTAAGAAGATTCTCTAAATAGCAACCAGTTGGATTATGTTTGATGTTAATACAGAAAACAAGGATAAACACATTCCTGCTGACTTCCCTGACAGGAATCGAACCTTGGTCTCTTGTGTGATAATCCACTGCTTTGCCAGCTGACCCAAAGAAGTATGCATGATCCATTAGTCAGCTGAGTTACAGGCATCATTCAAATAGTATGTTCAAATAAATAATGATAATCATGTCACTGGGATAGAATTTCAGAAAAAGTTAAAACATCATAAAATAGCTTTTAAGTTCTACAACATTAGATGACACAAATATAAGGTTGGCATCTGCTGTACAAATATGGAATTAATAATGAGCTTGTAGCTGAATTCAATAAAGAGCATAGTTTTACTTAAATAAGGTGAACATGCAGCTAAGGTCACGGATGTGAAATATGTTTACAAACAGCGATGACTGATCGCAGACCTCTAGGTCTGTTTGACCTGCCAGGGACTTTACTAGATGTTACATGATATTAATACACTTTCTCATCTTATTACAGGATAGATGTTGATGCCAAGATAACAGTAAGATGGATGTCTCTGGTATAAATACAGATCTCCACTCAATAGATGTACCAGACTCCAGCATCAGCACCGACATATGGACAAGTTTGGTGGGTATTTTAAACTGTAAATGACATATGGACAAGTTTGGTGGGTATTTTAAACTGTATTTAAAAATATTTAAGAAACTGAAACTTTTCTTTTCATCAAATCAATTCCATATAATTCAGCATAGATGTTCAATGAGACTCTACTTTGTGTAAAGGGAAAGTCAAGCTGTTGATCTCTCCCTACCTTTTTGGTCAGAGATGTAACTTCTTGATACATATCAAAAAATAAAAAACTGAATTCATTCTGAATCTTCAGGTTCTATTGCCTCCAGCCAAACTGGGAGTAAAAGGGAAGGAGAAATTACGGAGAATAGAAGATTAGAAAAACTTGAAATTCTTTTTAGTTGGGTTCAAAGGCTTCTGCCATACATAAAGAGATTTTCATCAAAAGTCATTATTTTGTATAAGAGGACATTCCATTATTGAACACAGAATAATGGTGCTAGATAAGGGAAATTGAGGTCAATGAATGAAGAGATTTTGAGCATATTTAGAGAAGCATTGATATCTTTGAAGAGAAATAGTTTTGTGCAAATGGACCATGATACCGGTAGTCTAGCTCTCCTAGGGGGCTAATTTGTGAGACCCAGTAGAGGAAATTATTGTTCCATGCTCAATGGTATAAGGCATCAAACAGTCATCTGTGAAAGAGATTAAAGGTTCTGAGAGATGAATCCCAACCCAAGTGAGGGAAAATGTTGACATGTTTTACATTTTTATCCTGGCAAAACATGTTTGTAGGGGGTATTAATTTGGGTTCTGCCTGTGCATGCCTCAGAGGGTTTTTCTTGGCTATAACTTCAAAACCATTCAACTCAACTTCACAAAACTTGCTGTACGTATTCATTTAGTGCCCTAGTTATGCCTTTTACTGTAGATGACATTTTATTCTTTTAACATTTTTTTTCTGTTACCATGGAAACATAGCCAAAAAAATACAAAATTAGTGCTACAACTTCACACCATTTCACTCAACTCCACAAAACTTTCTCTATATATCAGTTTAGTGCCCTTGTTAATTTTGTTTTCTGTTACCATGGAAACACATAACCCTCATAACAAATATCAGATTTTCTGGACCAACTCTCTGAAACCATTCATGATAATCTGTCAAAACTTTTTACACTTATTAAATTAGTAGTATCGTTTGCTATGGGGAAAGTCCCCATTTAAATACTTTTTTCTGTTACCATAGAAACAGTTATGCCAAATAAAAATATAAATACTTTGTATGGAATAATTAAAAATTTTAAATGGAAATAAAACTTGTTGTTATATTTAGATATATATATGATTGTGGGTCTTTCTTTTAAACAGTGGGGTGCGGGGGATAATGACACGGGGATAATGTCATGCTTTGTGTTAAATTGTTTGTTAGGATAATGATTTTGGGTTTAACATAATTCCCTGAAATTCCATTGTTTAATAAGAATATCATATTGCTATTGATATTTCTGACATAGTTTTGACATTTATATCATAGAAATAGATATTGGGAATTTGACAGTGGTTACCTATTCATCTTAACAGATGGAGATGTTAGCTGCAACTGGGAAGGAGTTTGTGGTGCTCACAGCCGAGAAGAAGTGCAGAGAAGGCGCCACATTTGGCTCCACCCTGGGTACTATGTTCCTTGATGGAAACTCAGAGATATTAACAAATTTTATTGATTTCTGTGCTGGTAAGTATGATGGCAATTTGCATGTTTTGTCAATTTTCACATTGAATAACAAATTTCCCTGTCTGAAAATAAATAAGATATTGTTAAAAATATAGTAATAACTGGGGAACAAATTTACAAATGTTAATCAAATTTTTTTAGAAGGGTACAGAACAAAAATGGAATTAATTAAACAAAACTATATCTGTTGACATCAGACTTAATACATATGTGGTTCTCTCTAACAGACAATGATACTGATATCAATGTCATTGAATTATGGACTCAGTTTGATCTTGTCATATCGTTTTTCCCCAGAAAACTATAACCTGGCTGATAGAGTTAAAGTTTCTGATGATACCTACAACACTGAGAATAAATATCTTGATAAAGTTGATAATGAAGATCACTATCACAACTCGGACCCTGTAGTCAAGCATCTCAATGACAAGGATTTCAAACCTGGAGATGACAATGATCTTGACAAAACAAGTGAAGAACTTCCAACAGGCAGAATACCAGATAACAAAACAGAAATTGCTGGTGATGTTGTGGTCAGTCTTAATTTGAATAATTCTCCTGTTGGGGATGTGAAAGTCGGCAGTAAGAGTGACGAAGAAAATCAGTTAGATGAAAAAGGAAAACAGAATATAAATACAACTAAAGACAACAAAAGGAAATCAGAGAGTGAGAAGCCATCTAAAGTAAAATCCAACAAAGTGCAAAATGGTAGAAGGACGGAAAAGCAGAAGGAAGCCTGTGATAAAACAAAGAAAGTAGACAATGGAGACGAAACGGGGAATAATATCAGAAGATCAAGACGAATTGCTGGAGCCAAGAACCCTAAGGTTGGTAATAGGACGAGACATGCCGGTAGACATAGTAGGAAAAGGGTTGTCCCTGATAGATCTTGTCTAGACATTGACAGTGTCGAGGATGGAGAGAATATCAAGGATGGAGACGATACATGCATTGAGTGTCCTGCTTGTGGTAATTTCTCCACAAACCAGGACAGTTTTGTTAAACATGTTTTATCTGATCATCAGCTTGAAAACAAAAGCAGAAGTAACTCAAAGAAAATTTCTTGGACAATGGATAGCAAAAAATGTCCAGTCTGTGGTCAGTTTGCAGAGTCTGAAGGTGTGAATTCTCATATTTTTGTTCATTGCTTTGATGTGCTGAAGTATCCTTGCAATAGATGTCCGCTAGTGTTTTTAAAAATGAATAAACTTATTGAACACCAAAAGAAAAACCACAAGAGTGTTGGCATGGACGCAACAGAATCAAATAGTGACAACAAAGAGGAAACTATGTCTGATCAGTTTAACAGTCAGGATGGTGACTTAAAGTTCACCTCTCAAGTACAACTTCAGAAAGGTAAGCTCACTCATGGCAACAACAAATCAGGAAAACTAGACTTGGAATGTCAGGTGTGTTTTTTGCATTTCAAAACACAGGTGTCATATCAACGGCATATGAAGAGTCACATGGATGTAGATGGTAACATTAGCAAGTGTACTGTCTGTGAAGTGACGTTTAGTAAGACAGAAGATCTACAAAAACACATGTTGTCTCACCAAGCAGATGACAATAAACAATACAAGTGTGAAATTTGTGAAAAGTTGTTTAAATCCCGCAGTGGCAGAAGAATGCACAAAATATTTTCACATGGGGACAAAGGACTGAGTAAGTACGGGAAGAATAAATTTGAGTGTAGGTTCTGTGGGGGAGTCTTGGGTACTTATCACACATTAATGCGACATGAAGCAAGACATGAACAGGACAATGAAAGTCAGATACAGAAAATGGGAAGTCTCATGGAGATGGCTACATGTAAGTCAGTATCAGTCGAAGAATTACGTGTAAAGGAAACAAGTTCCCTAACTGAAACAGATAAAGATGATGTTTTTAAAATAGCTAGCTCAGAAACAGATACAGGTAGTAAAGTAGAGTCTGTATCAGAACCCAACAATGGCAGCAATGAGAATTCATTTAATGCAAAAAATATTGAAGAGGAAACCAGCTCTGAATTAAGCAATCGAAATTGTGAGGACACAGTTGCTGCAGATGACGAAGAAACAGACCAGGTGAACTCAGATGAAAAGAAAAAACGCAAATTTGAGTGTAAAGTATGCAAATTAGATTTTAAATCTCAACAGTTTTTGAAAGAGCACAAGAAGATTCATGCCATTTCTGGAAAGTCTCCTTATGCCTGTGACTTGTGTGGAAAAATATTCCTGAGATCCTTGTCTCTTTACAAGCACCGACAGCTTCATGACACATCAGGTAAATTCACATGCAAAACTTGCTTGAAGCAGTTCAACTCTATAGAAAGTTTACGCAGGCATGCAAAGAACCACCTTGATGTGAAACCGTATATCTGTACCGTTTGTGGTAAAGGATGTACAGAGAAACGGAATCTTGATACTCATATGTTAGTTCATACTCAGAGAAAAGAATTCATTTGTGAAGTTTGTGGCAAGGCATACCGTACACAACAGCAACTGAAGGAACACCGTTACATCCACACCGGTGAGCGACCACATAAATGTAAGGTCTGCGAGATGGCTTTCCGTAGCCAGGATGTACTTAGGAATCACATGGCTCTTCATAGTGAATTTAAGAAGTTTATGTGCCACACATGTGGTAAAACATTCCGTCAACAATCATGTCTTATAACTCACCAGCACACACATTCCAGTGAACCGACACATGTGTGCAACGTGTGTGGACAAGGTTGTAAGTCCTCTGGTGCCCTTAATTCTCACTACGTGTCATTCCACCTTAAACCTGAGGATGTTGCATCCTACAAATGGTCGGTGCATGTGTGTGAGGTGTGTAATAAGATGTTCGGGGAGAAACAGGACCACGAACGACACATGCGTACTCATACTGGGGAGAAACCATATAGTTGTGAAATTTGTGAGAAAACTTTCGCAGATAAGAGCAATCTGCGTTCACACATCAGAAATCACAATGGAGACCGGTCTAAAAAATGTCAAATTTGTGGCAAGGGTTTCATGTTTAACAGAGACTTGAAGAAGCACATGGTGTCACACAATAACAAGGCACGAGTACCTATGTTAGATAATGTAACGGTACAGACAGCACTACAAGACTCTATTGTGCCTGCAGTTGACAACATTGTAACAGTCATCACTCAAACAGACACTCTGCCTCCTGTCACACACAACCAGCTGGTCCCTCCAGTATCAGAATCATATGAGATGGTGACCACATCACTACCACTTGACAGTAACCTAACAGCTAACTTACCACCCATGAATACAGAGAACATCAGTGCTGTATCTCTAATGCAGGAAGCTACCATGGTTCATATGGGAGTTTATAGTAACACTGGGGACCTGACATGGCACTCCCTGTAGTTTTATGTACCAAGGTGGTATGAAATGACAGGAGACCTGACATGGCACTCCCTGTAGTTTTATGTAACAAGGTAGTATGTAGTGACACAGGAGACCTGACATGGCACTCCCTGTAGTTTTATGTACCAAGGTGGTATGTAGTGACACAGGAGACCTGACATGGCACTCCCTGTAGTTTTATGTAACAAGGTGGTATGTAGTGACAGGAGACCTGACATGGCACTCCCTGTAGTTTTATGTACCAAGGTGGTATGTAGTGACACAGGAGACCTGACATGGCACTCCCTGTAGTTTTATGTACCAAGGTGGTATGTAGTGACACAGGAGACCTGACATGGCACTCCCTGTAGTTTTATGTACCAAGGTGGTATGTAGTGACAGGAGACCTGACATGGCACTCCCTGTAGTTTTATGTAACAAGGTGGTATGTAGTGACACAGGAGACCTGACATGGCACTCCCTGCAGTTTTATGTACCTAGACAGGATAATGTAACACAGGAGATCTGACATGGCACTCCCTTAAGTTTTATATATCAGTTTGGTATATAGTAATACTGGAGATCTGACATGGCACTCCCTGAAGTTTTATATATCAGTGTGGTATATAGAAATACTGGTGATCTGACATGGCCCTCCCTGTAATTTCATATGCCAGGGTGGTATATAGTAGTACTGGAGATATGACATGGCACTCCCTGTAATTTCATATGCCAGGGTGGTATATAGTAATACTGGAGATATGACATGGCACTCCCTGTAATTTCATATGCCAGGGTGGTATATAGTAATACTGGATGTAGCAAGTTGTTATATTTTGTTATATTTATCAGTTCTATGTAAAGAACTTGAACATTTGCTAGAAATCCATGATTAGGTATTGATTTATTGATTATAAACAGAAGGTTTTTTCAATATATATCTTTATGTTTAATCAGCTGAGTGATGTTTCAGGATTTTATATAAAGGAATTATCGTCTTTGTTACAAACATTTTTGTTTATTCAGAATATTTCTGATTACTCGGAATTAAACCAAAATGATTAAGCTAGATTTTGCATATAGGAATGTATTCCCAAATGACATTTTATTTTAGATTTACAATGTAACAATATCATACAGATTTCATTCCTTACTTTTGCTAAAATTTGAAATTATCAGTTATATCGGATTGTCCCATGTACATATATGTATTAATTTTTGTCAAAGTTGAAGGAGTCGTTAGATTTCTGCTGTGGACTCATCATCTGCTACTTTTTCTCCTCTCCTAACTGTTCTCTGAATAGAACAAAATCCATCTTTATTTTAGACACTTTTTAGAAAGAAAGTATCTTTTATGACAATCAAGCCCTTTGTGATTATTTCATAGATATGTCAGGCCCCTGTGATTGTGTGAATGTGTATTGTAAATTACATACTACTAATTGCTCAAAACAGTATTTATAGCGTTTGATCGGTATTAATTGAAAATAATCTTGTTTGTTGTCAATCTTTATTGATGGGGTAAATTAGAAAAGGCCTTTTTCTAGAAATGTCTACTTCTGTTGGCAGGTGGCCATTGTTATTTTGTCATGTAACTTGTAAAGTGACCAATTCTACTATGAAAAATCCATGAAACTGGTTCTAAATTTGTAAATCACCTTGTTTAAACTATTATGCTGCTAATCTGTCATCTGTGTCATACTTTTTGCATATGAACTCACATGATATTATCTACTGTGAAATTATCAATTTTTGTTGGGCTCTATTTTCATGGTTTGAAAAAAATACTATTTCATGGACAATTGATTTTGTGGGTAAATATAGTTCAATATATCTACTTATACTAATTTCAGGACTTTGTGAACATAAAATTTGAGCATTTGGGATAGCCATGAAATCAAGGAAAATAAAAATACCACAAAAATTAATAATTTCACAGCATTGTTGTCACATGTTATAGAATGATAAAGAAATGACATCAGATCTTTGTAGCTCATACTCGGATGTACAGTGTAACCATGGAGACAATGGATATAGACCATGAAGAATTCCAATAGGACATGCAACATTTTCTACAAAATTTGAAAAGATATTTACATGTTATTGGGAGATATGAGAGTTATTAAACTCATCACAATATGACTCAGAATCTTTCTGATTTTGATACAAAATTTAATTCATAATTTCACAAAACTGAGTAAATGGAATTGTTTTGTAATATTCAATATGACAAATACAAGAGATGTAATTGCCATGCATCTCTCACCTGAATGTCAATGTTTTTTTACATAATTTATTTGAATGTTTTTCTAGATTTAACAAACTTTTAAACAATGTTGCCAAACTTTATCACTTTCTTATGTAAGTTATCTAGATTATTTAACTAATTAAAAAAGAGATTTCCACTGACTTTGTATATGGTTCAATGTTATGTGATTTCGCAAACATTGCATCATTCAATGCTGATAAGCCACAGACAACAAATATTAATCTATGCTTTTAGGTTTATAAGAAGATGCTGTTGGATTTTGTTAATAAATTTAACCTTGACCTCGAATATAGATTGTTATTTCCTTTTTTTCCTACTCAGGTTAGACTTGTAGTCAGGAACATTTACAGAGCAGTTGTCCTTAACTACAACTCACCAATCAGGATTTCCATTAATGAGAGGAAGTTCTTTGAAAGCATGTTTGCAATATTGGCCTCATAGGCATGACCTTGAACATGAGAACAAGGTCATTTCAATTTGCAGTTTCAGATGTTTTAATTAATCAGAAGACCCAATTTTCTCATTGAACTTAATAGGGATCTAGGTAATTTTTTGCAACCTTACATATATTTCAAACTTAATTGCAAAACAATATGATTAGATAGAAACAGCCAATAGAGACACTTGTTTCAGTAAAGACTAGAATATTATAACCTGCATGTATGTCGGAGTTGGTTTCTCTGATGATTTCTGCTTTGAAAACATCAGAGAGCGCCCAGGATCTGCTGTAATCCTCTGAATAATCAAAGGACAGGGACACTGTAGAATGAGGGTTTCCTTCCCTTGATAATATTAGGCTTATTTTCCCTTGGTATTATTAGGCTTATTTACCCCTCATAGTATTAAGTATATTTCCCCTGATACTATTAGAATTATTGTACCCTTACAGTATGTGACTTATTTCTCCTGATACTATTAGAATTATTCTACCCTTACAGTATGTGACTTATTTCCCCTGATACTATTAGAATTATTCTACCCTTACAGTATGTGACTTATTTCCCCTGATACTATTAGAATTATTCTACCCTTACAGTATGTGACTTATTTCCCCTGATACTATTAGAATTATTCTACCCTTACAGTATGTGACTTATTTCCCCTGATACTATTAGAATTATTTTACCCTTACAGTATGTGACTTATTTCCCCTGATACTATTAGAATTATTCTACCCTTACAGTATGTGACTTATTTCTCTTGATACCATTAGACTTATTTTACCCTTACAGTATGTGACTTATTTCCCCTGATACTATTAGAATTATTCTACCCTTACAGTATGTGACTTATTTCTCCTGGTGATATTAGAATTATTCTACCCTTACAGTATGTGACTTATTTCCCCTGATACTATTAGAATTATTTTACCCTTACAGTATGTGACTTATTTCTCCTGGTGATATTAGACTTATTCTGCCATTACAGTATGTGACTTAGTTCCCCTGATACTGTTAGAATTATTCTACCATTACAGTATGTGACTTAGTTCCCCTGATACTATTAGAATTATTCTACCCTTACAGTATGTGACTTAGTTCCCCTGATACTATTAGAATTATTCTACCCTTACAGTATGTGACTTATTTCCCCTGATACTGTTAGAATTATTCTACCCTTACAGTATGTGACTTATTTCTCCTGATAGTATTTAGTTTGTAAATTTAAGATCACATAGACGAAGTATAGAAAAAGAAATATTGAATAAATATTTATCCATGAAGTTTCAGTCATGATATAATTTTTCAGATCTTTTTTGTTCCATGTATATTAGACAAACTAACCCTTCTTCCTGCTGAAAGTTTTTGTAGTCAGATGACCTTTATAATCTTGTTTATTATCAAAGTTGTGAGGAATGTTGAGGTTGTCTTTATAGTCCTTCACTCTCGTCGTCTCCAGGCTGATTTACTTGTAGGTATGCTTCATATATGAAGTTAGGTCTGCTCTTCCTTTACTTATGACGTAAACAAGACACAAGGGAAAAAGAAGAAAAATAGACGTTGTCATGGTTACTTGTGTATGGTTTATTTGATAAGGCTACAAGGAATATTCGAAACAGGTGATGCTACCATTCCGTGTGAAACAAGATGAAGAAAATAACTAGACAGTGATGGAATGGTCTTAAAAATTCGTCTAGAATATCTGAAATACAAAGAAAACGAATTGTAAGAAATTCCGTGAAAATTAGATTTTTTCTTTACAAATAGATTAGACGTAGTCTGTAAGAAATACCAATATGTTGTTTGATGCGAAATGTATCGTTCTATTCTCTGATATGAATAATTCAAATTTGCGTTATTGTTGTATCTGTAATTAAAATCAAAATCTCGTTCAGGACGTTTTTTTACGTGACTAAAGAAATTCAGGGGTAGCAAAGTAATGTTAAACGTGTTTTTGAAAGGTTCTACTTCCGTGATCCTCGAAACCATTCAAGTCCGTCTGCACGAAAATGAGTTATTTAATAGAAAACGTATGAAACACTTACCTGAATTTTATTGCGGTTTTTGACAATATCCACAATATTTAGCACAGTTCTTTCGTGCCCAGCCGTCAAATCTCATACAGATAGCTGGTCCCATACTCTCACAGTCTTCCAAGTCCTCACAAACAACTGAAATGATAACAAATAATTTTTTACTATCTCACTCACTACAGTCCCTCCATTTCACGCTGGTAGGCTTACAGTGTTATTAAGGTCCGTCATTCCATTCTTTCATCACAATTTCATTTCTTCATACAGTCAAACTTCGTTATCTCGACATTTAAACTTTTTCGTCGGGCCCAGCCTAACTTTACACAAAATATCCAAACTCACTTAAATATCCGATTATCTTGAAGTTTTCCCATGTCCCCGCTGAATTCGAGATAACGAGGTTCGGTTGTATTTATACGAATACATTTACATGTATATTTGGTATGTAGTTAATGATAATAATGCGCAGTGAAAATTTTCATATTTTTTCCGTTATTTGGATTCTGACCATTTAACTTCAGAATTTAATTGAATTTAATTAATTCAAAACGGCAAGACTAATATTCAAGGGCCTTGCCAAATCCCCGTGTTAATTATAAAACTAAAATTTGCACAACATGAATAGTGATGAATACACCTATTAACGAGCCAATAACACTGAACAGTTGTCAAATTCACCCTGGTTACCTCTTGGAGCATGCTTGCTGCTCTGATATATGTAGTCCCCTATGAACATTCTCACGTAGATACATGATTTGAAATATCAGATCATTTTGTGTAAAATGAAAATCTTTCTCAAAACCTGTTAAGACTAGAAAAAAATATTAACGAAAGTAAGACTGACACGGGGATCTATGAGTTTAGAGATTAACAACATGTGTTAATAGATACGGAAAACTATGTATTTCCACAGAATATACAACAATAACAGTGCTTTCATTATTGCTATGCCTGTGCGGTTATCGTCTTTTCTGTAAATCCTGTACGAACGAGTTGGAACCATTACATACCTGCGTCAACACAAGCAGACTTCTCAACCTCGATTTGGATTTCCTTCAGGGCGTTAAAATCTGCAACAGTGTAAGCCAGTTTAGGATCGGAAGCGATTGCGTTAATTTCGGAAGCGTCGACTCCAGCCCCGATTCCAATGGAGATGACCTTGGTGCTGGTGTTGTGGAGAGCCGCAGCCTCGGCTATAGTCTCATTCTCGTCCG